GAAGGGAGGATGAGAAATGAGGAGGAGGAGGGGGGCAGAGGATGACAGCAGCGTGAGGGAGAGGAGGAGCGAAGCAGTGGGAGGAGAATGGAGGAAGATTAGAGGGGGAGGTATGAGAGAAGTGAAGGTGATGTGCACAATGACAAAGCAGAGCGAGAGAGAGGAAGGAGGAGGAGGAGGACTGAAGAAGAGTGATGTGTTCAGAAAAAAGAGGAGAGATGGTGAAGGGGAAAAATGAGTGAAAAGGAAAGGAAGAAGAGAGGAAGAGTAGGTGGTGTTAGAACTGGAATGAGATTTTTCCAAGTTTTTAGAAGTGACGTCCAAAATTAAAGTTTGATATCTCCACTGGAAGCTACTAAGGACGGGCACTGGGCAAAAATATAATTTTATATTGACTGATAATTTTACAGCTTTTCTTCCTTTGTTAAACTTGCAAAGTCATGAGCATAAAAGATGTGCGTGCTTTAAACCTGCATTCTTATGCCCAAAAGCTTCTGTATTATAGAGGTGTGTGGGGAAAACAGCCTGTGTCCATGACATCAGCAACACTTTGCTGATGAGTTTATAGGTTCAGTCAAAATTTTAGGGTCACATTGAATAGGAAAGGTTTAAATGTTAGAAAGGAGGATTATTATTGTGATCGATAACTTATTGTTTGCATCAAGGCGTTTTGTGTTGTAAGCTAAAGACCCTTCAATAATACAGAGACAACTCCTCGTTCAGATATCATGACCCAGTATGAGAAAGCACTTGGCGAAAGTAGGAAGAAAATAATAAATAATAATAAAATTAAGTAGATTTCTTTGAGGTACTTTAAGTAGAATCATATCCATTATATTGGGACTTTCATGGTGTAGGTAGAGATGTTTTTAATTTGTCTACTGCTGGGTAGCTTTTGGTGTAATAATACAGGATCATTTTCTACTGGTGCTTCAAACTGAAGAGGGTGAAAACCGTCCAAGTGCAATAAAACTATGTTAGAAGTTCTGCAGGTCAGGGTGAACCGTGCAGTGAATTGCTCTGTTGATTTTTGTCTTTACTTTAGACACTTCCTGTTTTTGGATTTGCAGTGTTGAGGAGTCGTTCCTGTTTATTTAACTGCTTTTGAGGAAGATTTATTTTCAGATTGATGGGCTTCTGCAGACTTTTTCTGGACAAATTTGCTTAAAATAACTCCAAGTCAGGCATGCCGTGTGTGTGTGTGTTTCAGAGACCACTTTCATTTTATGTTTAGATTTTTAGGAGCTAGCTATAATTCCTGTGATCCTGTCTGCTTTTAGTAGATTAGGACTCACTCAAATGTAATGGTGGCCCATGACCTCTGAATAAGAGAGTGATGCTAATGGGCCTTTTTTAAGGGTACTGCTACTTCTGTCTGTCTGGCTACAAGCCCCCCCCCCCCCCCCAAAAGGAGAAAACAAAACAACAAACCCCTCTCAGGTACACACTTTCATTTCAGGGTCATTTCATTATGAGTAAGAACTCCATGAACAACACACACACACACACACACACACACACACACACACACACACACACACACACACTACTCATAATCAGTTTACAATAATCCTCGGCAGTAAGCGGCAGGGTTAAATGTGTTTGTGTCTCTCTGAAGGATCTGATTTTCCTGGTTTTGGCTGTCATCTGTGATAGCGATACTCGCTAACGTCAGTAACAGCAGCATTTATTAAAGAAAGAGCTCATGGTGCTAGAGTGCTGTGTATTTGAGTTTTGGGTTCCTGTTTTAATGTATTTGCTGTTCTGGAAATTCTTTCAGGAATTTACTTTTCGAGCTTACTTTCATTTTTATCCTCGCTTCTGTTTTTTGGTGTTTCCCTCTGTCTTGTTTTTTTTCCTGTGTCATCTTGTTTAGTGCAGGTCTGTCTACATAAAAAGTATATGTGGCACATCCATCCCAGAAAATGGCTCAATTAAGTAGAAAATCATAGAGTAAAATTAGCAAACAGTACAAGTCTTCAATGTAATAACAGTCCGTTTAAGTACAAATTTGAATAAAATACAACACTTCATGTAAAAAGTTTTATATGAAGGAAGACATGTTAATAATTTTAGTAAAAAGTAACAAAGTTAATTTAAAAACTAAGGTGACATTATAATGGCTCAGTATGCACAGTTTAAAGTAGTGTACAGGGCTGAAATGTTAACTGATGGTCATTTGCTCTCAGATGATGCATTGCATTGCAGAAAGTTGTTGCATTGCTTAGGAAAGATTTCCTTTGTCTGTGTTTCTGGCTCAGAGAAATATGAACACAATTGTCCAAATGTGCAGGTGAACACTACTGTACAAAAGTCTTTATATTTAGTTTCCAAGGAGCCAGACCTCCTTGCAATTTTGTAAAGTGGTCTTGAGGAATAGCACTTTACAGCAAGCAGTGACTGCTTTTTCACTGCTTTTCATTCCACTCCAACCATCTTTGAAAAATGCCAATGTTTGACAGGCATTAAATTATGTAAAATCTTAGTGTTTTGGCATAGTTAGCATAATATTTGTTTTCCCTACAGAGCATAGAAGAGTACTGTTAGATTTTGATGCAATACCATACAGTAAAAGCATACCTGGATAGAAAACCAGACAGTGGAACATAATCAGTCATGGACTGGCCTCCCCAGAACCCAGACCTCAACATTAATGAAGAAGTGTGGGATCATCAAACAGCAACCAACATCCAAATAAGAACTTTTCATTGTCCTTCAGGAAGAAGGACTATTGGAGAACTATTCCTGAAGACTACTTAAGGAAATTACAGGAAATCGGCCTCAGAGTTTCGGCTATGTTGAAGAATAAAGGTGGTTACACAAAATACTGACTTTAAAGTGATTGTACAAACAGTCTTTGCCTTCCGCTGTATTTCCATTCACGGTTGCACTACACCCATTTTCTTCACAAAACATTGAGAAATGAGGGGTGGTGAACACCAGCAATATGTCTGACTTCCAGTTTATTAGAAACCCTGTTTACTCATTTGATAGGTGCAGTAGGTCAAACGTGAATCAGCAGAAAATGAAACATTTTTCGTTTTCATTTCTCGTTTCTTGTTGATTTTTAAAATTGGTTTCGGCAAGCATCAAACGCACCATTGTCCCTAAACAAATGTGTGTCCGACCTCAGCAGACAAAATGAAACACAAACTTGTTTAAACCTGATAAATGTTTGCATATTCGCTTTCTGCCTTTCGTTTCACTTCTGAATAAGCAGTTCCAGTAAAACTCTGGGTTTGCTCAGTCTCGCTGCATGTGCTACTTCCTCTAATGGACTTACTGTGTTGCAGTGCCCTCAGAGCTGAGTGGAGAACTTTGTGAGTAACGAGGAGTAAAAGTGTAAAAATGAGGCCTTAAATAACAAGGTCCTTTAATCAGTTAGACTTCGCTGGTATTTGTGTGTGGTCGCTGTTTTATGCGGCATATGTCCGGCCTCCATACGTCCTTTCATTTCCGGTCATCCACAGTGTGCTATTTTTATCTCAGGGGCTGTGAGCACTTGTGTGTGTGTGTGTGTGTGTGTGTGTGTGTGTGTGTGTGTGTGTGTGTGTGTGTGTGTGTGTGTCATCAGGTTACAGGGTGTGTAAGTGGACTCCTCTTTGTCCTGGCTGATAATTTTAGACAGAGGGCCACTGAAACTTTCAACAGGGGGTCAGATACTCCTTTTCCACTGACACACACACACACACACGCATGCACGCACGCATGCACACACCCACACACCTTTGGTAATGCCCATAATTACTAGTCACTATAAACATCTTGTTCATCGCCTCAACTCAGGATTTGTTTTAAATGTTCCTGATCTGCAATAGTTTGTATTCTACTGTAGTATATTTTAATATAATGAATAGTTATAAATAAATAGTTTAATCAGAAATCAAGCAGTGAGTTGTCAGTGTGTAACTTTTTTGCGTTTGAGCTACAAAGCTCTCTTTTTTTCTTTTCTTTTTGCCGTAGTGTTGGAGCACACCCTTTTCCTTTACAGCAGTACTCTTTTGCCCTTTCCTAAAAGCCCAGACTCATATGTGGTTTGGTTCAGGTTTAGCCACAGTGACAGTTCTCTCTCTTCTGTTAGCAGGTAACCACCTGCCAACTGGGTGGGAAATACACATTAAAGCATAAAGTTCAGTAACTACATCACTTTTGTGAAGTTAAGTTAATCTTGTCAAACAAATTTTCTGGCATCTCCATCTCCTTTACTAAACTTCTTGTTCATGCCAAATGATTAACTTCTCTCATTTTTACCAACTTAGTGTGAATTTGAAAGCCCCGGTCATAACACTTTAAAGAGTCCCTTGGTGTGCCTATAAAAAGCCATGCCAAACAGCATTCTGTGGGTGTGGTTTGCAAATAAAGGTGACACTTTGTCTTTATCTTTAATAGACACGTTAGGGTATTCACTGTTGTTCAAACAGGCCGGTTGTCTCGTCTTTTAAAAAGACAAATCCACAGATTTAACTTGAAGGAGAGCACTCATTTCATATTTTCACTTTAATTAATTAATTTATTTATTTATTTTTTGCTTTCTCTTGCATTGACTGAAGCCAGTGAGACTGCAGAGGTGTCTGCGTAGATCAGCAGTTAATAGATGTAGACAGATGGGCCCTCTCATGTGGGTGACTGTACTGTGTACTTGCAGAAGAAGATAGATGAGCTATGAGATGAAAGAGTCGGGGACAATTGAAGTGGATAAAGATGTACTCGAGTCAGTTTAAGAAAACTGCAACAGGAAGTATAATGGGGCGAGCGTCTGCGAGAGATGACTGCTGACTCATCCTCTGACATAACAGATCTGTCTGCGACTTCTCTCGTCACCCCAAAGTGGCTCTGGCAGTCTCTCCGCCAAGCTGTTCCTGGTTCACCTCAAATATCTCCAGCTGAGCCCGCTTGAAAGCAGCCTCCTAATATGAATAATGTACTAAATTATACTGAAAAGTCCGAGAACTATGAAGTATCTTGACAATGATAACCGTGTGTTTCCTTCCGTTTCTTAGGAAAGCGATTTCCCGCTCAGGCCTCCATTACCTCGGCCCACCTCAGCCCTCGCTTCCTCCTGCGTCCAACGGCCCCACCAAGGAACTACGTACCTGTGTGGACTGGACGGTCAGAAATGCACATGCACATTTATTTTATATAACTGTGAATCTGAACAATGATGACATTTTTTTCCTGGTCCCAGTCTGTGTTTTCCCTATTCTGTCTGGCTGATTCACTTGTCGACATTTGCATTTTTATGCCAACAGATTTGTTAGCAGACTGGTTTCAACAGCCATATGTTCATGTGGAAATGGAAAGCAGTAATCTGATTTTCCTTCCTTTTTTTAATTCCTTACAAGAAAAATGCCGTTCTATCTCAGCGTGGGAAAGAAACTTTTATGTGTCACGACTTTGTGACGCGGTTTATTATTCGACATTTAATAGGTTATATTTAAGAAACATGAATCACGACTCAAAAGCACCAGATTAAAAACACTTTGGGTTTTAAATGTAGTGCTAATGCTTAAGGAAATGTCAACATGAATTGGAAAGTATTGTCAAAAATGCTGTTAAAGAACCCAATAAATGTATTTTTAAAAAGTCCTGTCTTCCTGTCTCCAGTTGCGCCACTCCAAACCTGAGCTTGTGATCTGGTGAAAGCAGGTATTAAAACAATGAATCTGCAATATTCACCAGATTGTGCAGTGTGTGGCACGGCAAGTAAACAATCGTCAAAAACAGTCAAAGATGCATTAAAACAATGATAAAAAGAATTGAAGCAGTTTTTTTGATGATACACCAGGATGACAATGTGAATTGAACCTAATCTGAAAGCAAAAAGACCAATGAGACAGTTTTGAATAGTATTACTGAAGCAGGCAGATAATTTTTTTATAATCATGAAATAATTTAAAATCTTTTCCATGTTGTTTTTCTTTCAAATTGTTTATCACCTTCTTTCTTTCAAATCTTCCATTGCCATTTAGTTTTATTTAATAAAATCAGATTACTCTGGGTCCAAGCTGTAAAATCATATGAATCATCTGAAGGTTTTTTTTTCTTTTTACTTACATAAACTCTTTTGTGCAAAAACTTTGCAGACTTGAAACAGATTTTTTTTTTAATGATTATGGTACAATAAAGCCATTCAAAAAAAAAAACATGACAAAGAAAAGAAAATAATAGAGCGTTTTCACACGAGCCTCCAAAATTCAAGAAAAAGACATCAAAGTGCTTCAAACTCAAGAAGAATAGGTGCATTTCATAGAATTAGTCGTATCTATTGAAAATTTGCCAGCCACATAGAGGCTTTGTGAGGGTACTCTATGTTAATGGATGTCAAACTATGTATACTGAGGTGTCCAAACATGTCATTAAGGATACGGGGGAGGTCGTCATGTGTTGTTTTTATGGGGGAAAGAGTTAAATGGGGTGGACATCTGAAAAAGTTGTGTAAAAATATATTAAAAAAAAAACCCCACCCTCTGTCCTTTAGTGTTAGTACCACTACCTCCATTAGTTATTTGATTTTATTGTATTTTATGTATTTATATATTTGTACTGTGAACCTACTGTCAAAAACAAACTGGTTTATCTGCAGTGATACAAAACATTTCAAAAACACCTTAATTTCTTATGTAATTTCTTTTTTGTTTGTTTTTGTCCATCAAAAACGAACAACATTTACGACTTCCACTTTCCCCATTTTTCACATTTGCAAAGCCATCCCGCGGGCCGGATCGAAACCTTTTGCGGGCCATTTCTGTCCCACGCTCCATTTGTTTGACAGCCGTGCTCTAAATGATTCATGCATCAATAATGAAAAGCAAATGCAATGTGCTTTATTATTAATAGGAAGGTGTAAGTAGATAAACAGTTGTGGGCTCACATCTGAGATTTCCCTTGGGCTCCGTCTGTAGGGACACTTCCAGCACGTCATTGCTGCCCTTTATCTCTCTGCACGGCTCTCATGCACTCACTCATATATTATCACTGTGCTCAGACACTCATTAATATACACTCAGGGGTCGATTCATTGAGACCTTTAAGGTCTGCTTTTAGGTGCTAATAAGTCCAAAAGGGTTTGTCCATATTCCCAGCAGGGCCAGAACACTGGTAGAAGATGTGTAACAGGAAGTGGAAATTTAAACAAATGTCCATTCAAATTGATTTTCTAGTTTGTCACTAATTATTGTGACTTTATGAAAAAAGTGCTGCACTATGACAATAAAACCCACATTAATTACTTCATAAAAGATGCAGGAACGTCAGAATGTCTGCTCCTCACAGTAAACCCTAGAAAGTTGGTTGAGGTTAAAAAAAATTTAATGGACTGATTCTTTTTAATTAAATTGTTATTTCAAAGTGCTTTTAAAGATTTTGGGGCATTTGCAGGTAATCCAGTCTTTAAGTGCTGACGTGACGAATCCAAACTACCCTGCATTTAATAAGGCTTTTGTGTTTTTAACATGTTTTAATACTTTGTATCTTGTTCTATTTAATCTCAAAAAGCCCCTAAAAACAGTCAGTGATCACTGTCGGTTTTTCTTACCACTACTCATTTTAAAGCTCAGTTTTTAAAACGTTACCATGTAACTACAGCCCAGCCCATGCAGCAGTATATGAATGACTAACCTCATATTGTGCATGGATTATGTCAGTTGTTCTCCTGACTGAAGTTCGGTCCGTTTACAGCATCCTACCATGCAATTGCACTTGTCCCTGACTAGAGATGGCACGATACCACTTTTTTATGTCCGATACCGATACTGATATCATAAATTTGGATATCTGCCGATACCGATATGAATCCGATATAGTGTTTTTTAATCAACAAAACTGTTTTTTAAAATATCTTGCTGCATTTTGCAAGTCTGCAAGTTCATACTCAAGTTTAAAACAACAACTACACTAAAGCTATTCTGTTATACCTGTATACAAAAAAAATATTTCATAGTTCAGCAATACTGATCAATCTAATAAACTTAGACCTACACCATCCTCCCTATTCTGGTATTTTAAAGAGTACTTAGCGTAAATATTAAGCAACCTAACTAACAGGGTTCCAACTCCCAGCAACAACAAAAATAAATAAATAAAAAATAGGGAACCACCCCTCACGCGCCACCTCATGATGCTTAATCGACGTAATCAACCTTAATTTGATGCAGTGTGAAAGAAAATGCACAGAAATCAATTATTTTTCAAGAAATATTAAATAGATTCAACATCTTTCTTCAACAAAATTGCAGACTGCACAGATGGTACCTTCCCAAAGTAAAAAGTACTATAGCTTACTAGGGTATATATATATATTAGACTTTATAGTCACTATATACAGTAATTGACTTCTATTCATTTTACACCAAATTAAAACTTTGGGTGTCAGATAATTATTTATTAACAGCTCGACATTTTAAATGAGAATAAGAAAGAAAAGTATGTCTTTGTGCCCCCTTTTCCCAGTTAATGCCCTATCGGCCCCCCTGGCTAAACTTTGCTAGATCCGCCCCTGCACAGTTACCAGCCGTCAGCTACGTAGAAAAAGATCCTGGTGTAGAAAGTAATATTAAATAAATTCTAACAACAGCTTATCAAGCTTAAACGTGCTGCTGTTGTTCAGCCGCTGGTTTCCTCTTTCTGGCGCAAAGTGGACCAAAAACAAACAAGAGAGACGGACTCGTGACAGCCGGAGAGCGAGAGGCAGTCGCTCGTTAAGCTTAACACAGGAATGCTTTACAAACATTCAGAGATGGACTTACACACTTGCTTTACTTCTCTCGGGGATAACTTTGTCGGAGATGAAATGCCAGGTTGCTAGCGAAGCTCCAAATGCTATCCAGACCACCGACAGGTCCCGCATGCCACAGCCGCTCTATCACGTGATGCATACTGCTCCGACGTGCTAACGTTCTGAGGTGAGTTACGGCGTATTGCAAGTTTTGTGAGGTGCTTTCATGATATTTAATGGATCGGATTACATTTTTAATTTTTCTCCGATATCCGATCCAGTAATTTAGGTCAGTATCGGACCGATACCGATACGTAATATCGGATCGGTCCATCTCTATCCCTGACCGCCGGGAATCCTCACGTTAACTTTTATCGAGTGGAAAAAAGTTAGCGTTCATCCTCCAGCTTCACTGTGTTTATTATGCTAACATAGCTGTGTCGCTAGCGATCACGTAGCACATCGTTATATACCAGGTAGCCAAACTTCCTACAAACGTCACTGTTGTTTAGTTTTCTGTCTTCATTTATGTCGGAAGTGATAGCAGAGCTGTACATCTTAATTTGTTTCCGAAACCCCGCAGTCAGGACATGCTATATTGTATTTAGATGGAAGCTAGCGAGCTAACTCCCTGCTAACTTCTAATTCCGTTAAATGTCATAAATTCCGTTTTTATGGATGCCTGGATGTTCAACTGAATTGTTACACCTGGTAGAGCAGCCACACTGATCATGTTATTACAGATGAAGGAATTTAGACAGTTTTTCAACTCTCAGTGATCGCTTGACTTATGGACCTGCAGCGGAGTTTAGGCCCAGACACGGCTAATGACGTCAGACTTAAAGACCAGATATAACAGTTTTTATTGCCTGTTTACTTTCTTCAACTTTTTGCCAGTAACTCTTTATTATAAATAAAATATTGGAATAATAGAATAGAATAGAATAGAATTCAACTTTATTGTCATTGCACATGCACAGGTACAGGGCAACGAAATGCAGTTTGCATTGAATAACACATTACTCTTGATGTAGGACCTTGAAAGGTTAGTGTATGTAGGTCACTGTAAAGTTGTAAGGCTGCAAAATTATATTTTACAATGCGTGTTTATAAGTTTTAAAGAACCTATATTTTTGCCACATTACATTTTGTAGCTCGTTAAATGTACAGGAGACAAAGAGTTTAGATGCGTATTGTGGAAATCTTTCTTCAAGCCTTGCAGATTCTTTGCCCGATTGCTAAAGATATGCCTGCATTGGCTTGGGAAGGAACTGCACTTCCTGTTGGACCATGTTATGCTCTTCTGGCTGTTATGCACATTATTCATAAAATTGAACTTGGATTGAAGTAAATAAGACATAGTGATTTAAATTAAACCCATCTTGCCAGAATCTCTTAGATCCTAACAGAGTAAAAGTGGGACAAAGACTGTTTGTGTGGGCAAAGTGGGACATGTCATGTCTTGCCAGGGGTAGTCTGAAATGTTCACATTGAACTTAAAAATTTTTGATCCATATTTTACAGTTGTAGTGATTTTTATCCAATTATGACATGGATAATGTGTCACTTTACATATTTTGCCCCAGCATAAAAGTTTAAAATAACTCTTGCAAAATAGACAAAAGCAATTTCTCAGAGTATTCTGCTGCTTCATTTCCTTTGTGGTTTTTTCCGTCATATTCAACAAAATCTGCAAAGTTTGTTACTTTCCTTGATGAGTGCTGCATTCGAAAGGAATCTTCTGACTGTAATAAAAACTTTTCCTTCATATTCACTTAGTAAAAAAGTGCATGTCCCACAGTACCAGTCAAAATATGGGACATTATCTCGAGACAAGGGATAAAAATGCCATGCAGTCCCACATGAAGAGGGATATCTGGTCACCCTAGTCAATCCCCAATGTTATGTTGACATGGAGGGACCCCACGGCAGAGATTTACCCTATTAATTATTATTTTTACTTCCCGGTTTTCTGGGCCAGCTTTTATATTCTCAAAGTCCTACTGAGCTGAGTCATCTTATTACCCTCCCATTTCAGCCAGGCGTTGTCCCAGATAGATATACACATACAAAGCCAGACCTATACATTATTAAATTCCATATATTTTATGTTTGAAACTAGTGTGAACCAGTAAAAAAAGTAATTATTTACTTTTACTTTGTAAGATAGTTGCCAAGCTGATAAATGAAGTTAAAGTTGTCATATACATACAACATACTGTTATTAGGAAATACAATCAGGGTTTTTCTTATGTTGCAAAAAAATCACAAAAGAGAGAGGAAAGTGCAAAATTAAGATAATTAAACAAATACAAGTTAATTATATAATTAGCAAATGAAACAAAAGGTCTTCCAATCCATTTTTCCATTACTGAATGAATGAGCAAGCAAAACTATTCACATCTGAGCTGAGGGAGCGTGATCACAGCTGTGCAGTAAACCCGGTGACACAATTTTACTCAAACATTCAGCCTGCATGCATTTACCTTGAATGTCTTTGTACGCATATACACTGACATGTATTACTCCATGTAGGAGTGTGTTTGCACATGAATCAGTAGTGTTTAAATTAACATGCACTGTGAAGTTACCCACCTACTCAGCAGTGGCTGTTATGTGCTTGACACACTTGTTGACCTCATTCGCTGCCATGTGCTCATGTCTATATGGTTGCAGTTAAATGTGAGTGAGACAATGTTGACTAATTTTATGATTATTCCCCGCTCATTTTCTCTCTCTTGTCTGCTTCTCTGTAGGAGAACGCAGTGAATGGGGATCACCTGTGGATGGAGACGAGCTGCTCAGGAGAGCTCTGTTATCTTGGAGAGGACACCTGCGTGCTAAAGACAGCTGTGAGTAATCTATAGTCCTTATACAAATCCTATGTTAGCATGTCAGATACAGTGAAAGACTTTTGTTTTTTCTAGAATATGTATATTTATTTCTTTTAAGTAATGGTCTTATGAACATTAAATAACTGGACTAAAAAGAATCCCAAAAAGATTTTGCTCCTTGTAATCAACTCGGTACCCAGATCCTCAAAAAAAGAGAAGCGAACTTCAGAAAAAAGACAATGCAACAAAACATGTATGGTTTAGAACAACTAACTAGTCTGACTGACTTATTGTTAGATTCAAATCCTCTAAAAAACTCCCGAAAGGTCCCGAAATCTTTTCAAGTACATCATCTTCAGGCTTTGGTATATATTTGTATTTTTAAAGGGAGGTTTCATATTTGTCTTATGCACTCATAAGCATTTGGTTTAGGCGTTATTCCCCCTAGACATTTAGCTTTTTGGTATGCAAAAACTGAGACTTATTAATGTTGCTCAGCTTTGTTATTTGTATTTATATTTGTGTCCTTCTGAATACAAACCAAGTAGAAGTAGTTTTGGGTCCCTCTTCGAAAATGATTTTCTCACACATTATTAAGAATTTTATCCTTTAGCAGCATCTGTGAATCATTCAGTGAAACTTTTTGAAACTGAAAATGAAAACTAATGCTAATTAATGCATTTTTAAAAAATCTTTTCAGTTTGAATTGATTTTTAAAAATGGATATAATGGCATCTTAAATTAATTTTATATCATGGCCCACATACAGCCCACTTTGGTCTTAAGTGGGCCAGACCAGAGAAACTCTCCTTTCTGTTATAGTGAAGACATTTAACTACACATTTAGTCCCTTTGATATCTTAATATAAGAAGTAACTTTTTTCTGCATAGTAAAGAAACACTGTGATCAGCGCAACTGTTTGGGTTTAAATTGTCAGAAATAAATGTGCAAAAAATACAGAAAAAGTTCTGGTAGCTCTTTACTCAGATTGTCCCTTAAAGTTTTAGAGTAGTTAATGAAAAAACAGGAAGTTGTCTGTTTATCAATTCATTACGGTTGTGTAGTATGATTAGCTATTGGGGAGGTCTTTATCGTCTACCAGCCGACTCAGTGGCCAGGTCAGTGTTGTGGCTGCTCTCGATATCATTCATCTGATTCACTTGCAAAGTTCAGATGACCTCCAACTCTGCCATCTGGGAGTGCAGCTGGTGACATTTATTGTTTTGGCCTCTGTCATGTTGGTGTTTTGGAGCCAGACGTTACCTTATATTGACCAAAGGTTGATGTGCCAATTTATCAGCTATTGCTAGTTGGCTTGGTTGTGGTCTTGTACACCCCATTCCCCCCCCCACCCCCCCACCCCCTTTAGACTCAACCCTGCGACAGAATGTAAGACGGCTGCCATCAACATCGTGCTAGACTAAGTCAGTAGTTTGTCTGCAAAAATAGACTTTTATTTGAACTTCTGTAGGTTTTCTGTAGGTTTCGCTGTGTACAACAAGCAACTGTCGATGCATGTGTGGAAATGTGACAATTGCAGAGTTAATCAGCCTGAACCAACCATGACCAGAGTCTCTTATATCAGCACCTAATAATGCTGCCCGAAACACATCTGATTCTTAAAAGCTTTTTCATGCAGCAGAGTTTTGTCTCTTTAGTGCAGCTGCAGAATAAAAAGGCCTGTTATTGCTGGTGCTATGTTAATGAGACAAAAACAAAAAGCAAAAACATGATGACTCTAAAATGTGGCATCAGGAGCAGGTAATACAAAATTTCCGTGTAGTACCAGGTTGTGATTTTTAGTGCCACACATGAAACACTCATTGAAACACATCATTTGTGCTTCATTTGCAGAGCAGGTGGTCCCAGTGTTCTGCAAAAGGAGCGTTTCGTATTCTGTTGTAAATGCTAAAACAAAGCATTATTTTAAACAGGATGCCACACTCTGATTCAGGTGAAACATGTCCACAAAGCAGAGAATTAATTACTCCAAAAACAGAGAAGGAAGTGTGTTCTGAAGTGTCGTTGACTACAAGCATGCAGGGCTGCAAAGAAAGAGTCTGAATGAGAGCTGTTGTTGACCTTTTGTCCATCTATTCAGCTCTTACAAGAAAAACAGCACCTGCTATACAGAGCTGAGAAACAGCCTTTAATTCACTACACTAATGTAATGACATCTTTGTACATTTCCACTGATGGAAGGTAATTATAGTGCACGTATAAAAACACATTAAGACGCTGTCAAGATTGAGCTGCAGCAAGAAATAATCTCTCTGTGGTGATTTGTGTTAGATAAATGTCCAAGAGGATATGCCGACCTCAGAGGAATCTGAGATCGCTTTGACAAGTCGTGGCTGACGTAAGTAAACACATTCCTACCTGTTTTCAGCGGGATCAGCTCGATTTAATCTCAGTCATGAAGGAACAACCAGGCTGTTGTGTAAGGCAAATGCTGCAGAAAATACCTCCTCTCTCCTATTACACGCTTAACAAAGAGTGTTTGAAAAGGAAGTAAAGACCTCCATGGCATGCTTCATAATCATGGATTACCATCCACCCATCCATAAATCTGTCCATCCACCCATTCTCCATTCAGTCCATTCAATCCTCTATACCCTGGTATGTTTCTATTGGAATATTCCAGATTGCTGGGAATTCTGAAAGAAAGAGAAATCTGATTACAAATTCTAAACACCTGATTACAGCTAAAAAAAAGTTATGTAAAGTCTCAGTTATAAGTTAGTTTTGATTTACAGATCACAAGTAGCTCTTTAAAATTATATTTGACCAATTAAGATTTGTACAGTTGCACATTTCATAATGTTATTCTCATCATCTCTTTTCTGTTTTGCCTCCTACTCTTCATCGGCCTCCTCCACCACTGCTCTGTCCTCCCTCATCTACACCTCATCCTCCTCTTGAACTCAAGTCGTGGCTCTAAAACAATAAAATGTGCATTAAAATGATGACTTATTCTCCATTTATTCTATTTATTTATCATTGTCAGTCATGCAACACTCCCATCTCCAGACAGCTGACAACAAGTCTGCTATAACCAAAACAGATTATGCCAGCTAAGGCTTGAGTGTCCTAAAATATGTTAAAATGTAGTGTGTACAAAACGGTTTTTATACACCAACAGTCGTAGCATCACGCCAGTTGGCCATGGCTGTTATGGGGTACAGATGGTTAAAGAAATTTTTTCGGAAATGATGGCAAACCTCTTTCTGGGACAAGAAGGGACTATTCCATCAGTGTTGTTTTGCCAATCTTCAAGCTTGGAAATGGTGTGAAAAGAATTTCCACCTTGCGTTACTCTTGTGAATGCATATTGTGTTGGAAAACGACAGATCGTTTTGGGAACCACCTCAGAAACCTCACCCCATCTCTGAGGCTGAGCCCAGACCTAGAAGCTTGTTTGCTGCTTGCATCTCACTCTTTAGTTCGGTACCCACAGCCTGTGGGCAGAGCTGAGGATCAATCAGACAGTAAATTCACATCTTCTCCTAAATGCTCAGCTCTCTATTCAGCAGAACAGACTGGTACAGTGTCCGCCTCACCTCAGACATGGTACTACTGTACTTAGACATGCCGGTTAGTAAACACTCATGAAGTCTTCTTAGTATCCTTCATGTTCTGGGGTTGTTTCTTTTTGATTAATTGGATTGATGTTTTTAGCATCATTTCAGTGAGGACCACCTTACTTAAAGGAATATTGTTATTTTTGTCTACTGAAATCTATATTTGATGGCATGGCTCGGCTCCTGCCTGGGACCTCCTGATTCTCGCTATATTATGATTATTGTCTTGATAGAGCGATGTGGTTGGAGGTGTGATACAAAGCCACAATCTGGCCCACCAACTGTATGCTGGCTGGCATTGAAATCAGCTGATCTACTGGGATTGTGGCTGAGTATGATTCCATTGATAACACATTTAAATGCCTCAGTCCCAATGCTTGTCTCTCTGCTCAGCCATACCTTAAATCCACTCATAGGTAAACTGAATGAGACTGCTGATCTGATTACAGCTCAGCGTTCTTCTGGGAAACTTCCCTATCCTGGTCCTGAGTTCAGCAGTGTTAGGCAGGAGTATTTATTCAAGGCTTTAATGCTTTGCCCGACTGGTTTAAAATTTGTAGTGCTTTATAACTACTGGTTATTTGGTGATTGTAAAATGTGTAAAGTAAAATGATGTCATACTTTGTTTCCTTTTCTGTGAAAAACATGCTGTTAAAAGGCTACCGGACATTAATTGTTTTACACAGCTGTTTAAAGTTCCCTGACAATGACCATTAAAAATGTATTTTGTGTGTAATAAATAAAGTTCCTCTGTTTAGAACCTTCATTTTTCTTGGAGTTTTAACTCTTGTGGCATCTTGAAAAAGGATGTCTTGCTTGTCTCAGCATGATAGTTCATGTAAGAAGCTGATCTTGTGGCGGGGCTTTCCAAGCAGAACATTCAGAGCTACTAACCCATGAAAAATGAGGGTGAAACGTTGTTTTTGTTGTTGTTGTTTTTTGGGGTTTTTTTCTTTTCCTTTTGTGTGTGTGTGTGTTCGTGGGAGTAGCTCTGAGTATTGCTCAGTGTGACATTCAAGAGTGAACTCATTGACTGGAGATGAGACCACTCCATTATTAGTTGTCATATTATTACTCATAATGAGTAGTTTGTCTGTTGCAAGAGCAAGGGAAGCACGGCAGTGTTATTTATTGAAGGCAAATCGCACTTTGGCATCTTGAGTGTTTGCTTTTTTTTTTTGTCAGTCACTGTGTGATAAATTACTCTGCGCTTTTAATTCATTCTTTTACCTTAGAGATTTGTTTTTTGTGGGTTTTTGTGTGTGTGTTTGTGTGTTTTTCCCAGCCCCACAGCAGTAAAGATTATTTTCTGGGTCTGGAAATTGAAGCTGAAGCTAAATTACCTTAAACCTGCATTCATTTAAATGGCCAACAGGGGGCGACTCTTGTGAAATAATTTTGTCTGTAATTATCTCACTGTAACCAGAACTTCAGTGCTGGTCTCGGTTAGGCCACCTGACCCTCGTAATGTCTTATTTCAAATAACCAGGATACCAAAATTAAGTTTTAAAACCCACGTCTACAAGCCAGTGGGTCTTTCTACAATGAATTCGTCCAAGCCTCATTTGTTTTTTTGTACATTCCTTTCACCATAAAAGTCTATAAACGTTATGCAGTATGTGACTGCTCTAGATAAAATGGCTTAAATGTACGTAAATCAGCTTAAAACAAATTATCTAAATTTCAATTTAGATTTTAGAAATGTCAATGCAGGATTAAATTTCTTAATACAGTAAAAATGTAATATTTAAATGATTAAATATATTATTACGTTCACTGTACATAAACTGTTAAAAGGTAAGGACTATGGTTGCTGATTTTTCTTTTTTATGTCGTTTGTAATCCATGAATGAAAATGTTAAAAAAAAAACAAAAAACAAAACCTGAATTAGTTATATAAAACTAATTCAGCTAAAAATATGCACAATTATTTATCAAATTGGTGAAAAATTATTATTTATTATTATTATTATTATCATTATTATTATTATTTTAGTGGTTCACAAAAAATCGTATGTATTTTATTAGTGATAAATGTATATATTAATAACAACATATGGCTTTTATTCATGATTTTTATGTATTTTTGCATTTTTTTAAAAAGAAGAACATACATGTCACGGCTGGCGGAGTGAGCCGTGTGGAGTGGAGGAAAAGGAGGACCCAAAATGCAGCAAACTGATGATACGAGTGAAGTTTATTTACACAGTGGCAGTGGCAAAAACAGGCAATGAAGCATGAGTAATGACAAACCTAAACTGGGAGAAACTAAAGAGCAAACCTGAAGTCTACAAAACGGAGAGCGGAGCAGAGAGACGCAGACTAAGGAACAGGATACCAAGAAACACAGACGAGCCGACAAAGAACACAGACCGACACCCACTAAATATACACACACACAAAAGGTAATCAGGTAATCACACACAAGAGGGAAGAACAGCTGAACCTAATACACATGAGGACCGGAGGAGACAAGCTGAACACAATGACAACAGACACAGACTTTCAGAACAAGACAGGAAATCTAGACCCGAACCGGACACAAGGGGGGAGGACACAGAATAGCTAGAACAGAGGAAAATAATCACAAAACGCTGGGTCAAAATGACCCAGGACCATGACAATACACAACATTAGAATTTCTTTTTCTTTTAATAGAAAAAAAATTAGCCAATAATCTGAAGTTCTTTGTAGAACCAAGCAAAGATATAAAGGTTTTTTTAGGGTTTTTTTAAAATGTTGATATTGACATGAAAGTAACATAAAAGACATTTTCTCTAAAGATTGGGTAGTGACACCTATACCTATAGAAGAGTCAGAAATATAAGCTAATGTTCTTAAAATCCTTATTTTTTCCATTTTGAATAATGGCTGGTGAAAAAAATAACAGAAACGGACTCCTCAAGCCTGGAGTGTCACTGTGCTGTTAATGGTGCTAATAAAAGTCTGCCACTGCTGTTCAAACTGAACTGGAGTAAAAGTAAAATGTTGGGGGACCTTGAGCACATCTTGCCAGTGTGTAACAGCAGGTTGCTGTTAGTGTGTTCTTACACTGCTTGCGTTTGTTTCATTTGCTGTGTGCTGTGTGTGGATTTTGTGTGTCTTACTCTGCCCTTTGTACTCTCTTTTTAAGAAGTCGGCCCCCAGGAGGAAATGTGCAGCCTGTAAGATTGTTGTTCACACCGGCTGCATGGAGCAACTAGAAAAGGTAACACACACACACATACACGCACAGACACACACAGTCATGTTTTCATATCCTTGTGGGGACATCTAATTGAAATAATGCTTTCCCTAGGGTTAGGGTAACCCTGACCATGATTGTAACCCTGTCACTAAAACCACATTTTGAGTCTTAAAAATGCCTTCAGACTTGTAGGGTTGGGTATTTTATCCACATAAGGGCTGTTGATCCCCACAAGTATTGCAAACTTCCAATTTTTCTTGTCCCCACAAAGATATGTAACCATAGTACACAGACACACACACACAGAGACACACACACAGTTTATTGTTCATACTTCATTTTTGTCATAGTTCTCGATCCCTGGTTTATGCTCTTGGGTTCTGAGACTCAAATAAATATAATATTAAATAGCTGTTCCATTATTTCTAAGATCTTTAAATGCCTTTGATAAGATTTGTTATTTTCTTTCCCTATGTAAATTAAATGAAGCCTAGGCATGATAAGAAAAAAAAAATATTTTATTTATCCCAAAAGCTACAGCAGCTGAAAAACATTAAACATAAAAAGTAATAATTAAAGTAATAATTGGTAAAAATTTAAAATAAAATTGAAAAGTTATATAAGAAACTGAATATAGAATCAAAATACCTTACTAATTATTAGCACAAGCACACATGAGACTAAAAACAACTCCAGGTTATACACAGGGTTTAACAGGGTTGTAGTAACCAATGTGCTGCTTATCTTACAGGTATTACCTTCCAAAGGGTTATTGCATGAAGTACTCCATGAAATCGGAAATTTTTCTTGAAATGAGTCTTACACTTGACAAAGCCTCTGGGCAGTTACAAGCACATGAAGGTTGTTTTTAAATCAATGCCGTGAGAGCCGTAACTTAACTTCAGTGGTCACTGAGTCATGAAAAATGTCTGCAAAGTACCTGAGTAAAGTTTAATGACTGTGCCTGAACATTAGGTTAAAAAGCCTTTTCCCCTTCAAGCCATACTTCTACTGTGCATGTAGAAGTCTGACAACATTACTGCTTTATTAACAGATCAATTCAGAGTGGTGATATGTCTCTGCTCATTTTCCAGAGCACTGATTATATGAAATACTTGTCCATATTATGCTAGTACTAGTAGCATTAGTAAGAATGCTACTAGTACTAGCACTACCCCTGTACTTAGCAAGGCAGTATGCTCTCCACCACACAGTTTAAACTGTCATGGACCTCTGCTGTTTACTTGCAACATGACTGGCTAATAAGTTTCCCATTTTGGCTTTTGATTGGCTCTTACTAAATTCTCACATGAACCTTTACAAGAGATAAAACAATAATTCGCCACTGTTTAAAAGTATAAAACATTTAATTGATGCATAAGGTTCAGAAAAGCCTAAATGCAATGTTGAGATGTGAGAATTCGGGCTCTCAGGTGGTTAAAGATGCTCTGATGTAATAAAGTTTACTGTAGCTTACTAATAATTTTTGAAAGGTCTTTATGTCTGTGCATCAAAGTTTCACTGATCTTGGTTTTGTCCTGGCTTCCTCTCCCCACCCCAACCAGTCACAGCAGATGCCTGCACTTTCCTGAGCTTGGTTCTGCCGGATGGTTTTTCCTGTTTAAAGGGAGTTTTTCCTTCCCACTGTCACCAAGTGCTTGCTCACTGGGGTCTGATTGTTGAGGTTTTCTCTGTATTATTGTAGGGTCTTACAATTTAAAGCGCCTTGAGGCAAATGCTGTTGTGATTTGGCACAATAAAATTAAAATGAGTTTTAGCATGAATATATTCCAAACTCTTTCACCCCTAAGTTTAGCCATCTCAGTCAAATACCAAATCCTGACAGTAATTCTAACTAACCCTAAGTCTTAAGGCAGTTGGAAAAGATATATAATTTTTGTGATCATAAATAAAACAAATTCCCAATGGCAGCTACAGATGATTTATGTTAATTTTTAGTCTGAATGAGCGATTCTCGGGAAAACTAAAACCCTAATCTGCCAATTTTGTACAGGCATAATAACACACACACACACACACACACACACACACACACACACACACACACACACACAGCTACACACAGCTACACACACACACACACACATTCAGTGAGTGTATCATTATAATTATAGATGTCAGCTTTTCAAAATAGTAGCTTAACGATTGCCTGCATGTGATGCATTTATGGAGCATCTGTAAAAATGTAGCTGTGAAAAACAACCTCCCCAGATGGAAACTACAGCTTATCTCTTTTTTTAGATAAACTTCCGATGTAAGCCGACTTTCAGAGAGGGAGGATCCCGAACCCTGAGAGATGTAAGTGTGTAGCTGCATAAATGTGAGGGAGGAATCGGCTTTTTGTTTGAGGCGTTAAGTGAAAGAAATTGTGTTTCTGTGTTTGCCGGCAGAACATCCTCAGACACCACTGGGTTCACAGACGACGACAAGAGGGGAAATGTAGACAGTGTGGAAAGGTGAGTTTGCACTCAAAAACACATGCAGCTGCACACAGATGTTGTTCCTGTTCATGCAGACTGCCTCTTTGTTTCTGCAGAGTTTTCAGCAGAAGTTCTTCCACAGTAAAGAAATCATCGCCATCAGTTGTTCGTGGTGTAAACAGGCCGTAAGTCCGTTAATTCACGAGTAAATATGATATTTAACCCCACTAAGATGTTATTAGTGGGGAAATACAAGTTGTATTGTGCATTGAAGTGGATTAAATATAAACTTAAGCACTACAGGAAGTTTCTGTACCTATTTCCAAATATATATTAGAGTGACATCATTTGTTATTATTATTATTTCCACATTAACAAGGTCATGTAGACCCCACTCATGAATAGGCTGGTTGTACTGACACATCTGTAATCCCCCCAGTCTCTCATTTCCTGCTGTCTCTACAGCTGATTTTCTAATGTAGCCATACAGTAAAGTAAAGATAATCAATCATTTATGTACCCAATCTGTCTCGAGGCTGGAGGCGGAGAACTGCTAGTGTTACTGAAGGAAAGCACCTTAAAGAAAATGATGCATCACGTCCTTGTTTTTTGAAAATGTGGTTGCATTATTTAAAAATATTACATGTGTCATGGGCTCAATAGAGTAACTGAACCTATTTAATATTTTTGTATATGGTTACATAAATTCAAAATGTTCCCAGAACAGGGAATATGTCATAGGTTCAGTACTGTAATTGCACCCATTTAATGTCTGTGGCTCCCTTTATTTCCTGCTGTCTCTACAGCTGATTTTCTAATACAGCCACAAAATAAAGCAAACGTTGGGTACATAAATGATCAATAACCCGCCTCAAGGCTGGAGCCAGAGGACTGGTAGTATCACTGAAGCAAAGCACCATTTAATGTCTGTCACACAGAGCAGGGATGTCAAACTCATTTTACATATTGGGCCACATATATCCCACTTTCAATCAATCAATCAATCAATCTTTATTTATAAAGCACTTTTCATACAGAGAAAATGTAGCACAAAGTGCTTTACATAGTTAAAAGCAGCCCACCCCACCCTCCAACTCACTCCCCACACTCTCAATACACATATATCCCCCACCCACACACACATACACACACGCGCACACTTAAAGAGTAAAAATTGGGCTGGGCTCGCATGAGCCAAGTGAGGAAACACTATAACAGGGAGCCGTCTGCACCGGGAGCCGGTCACAGACCGCAGCCTCCAGGCTGGGCACACAGCAGGAGGGAGGCAAAGGAGCCCCCCAGCCAGGCTGAGAGGACCCCAGAGACCCAGCAGCCACGGTCAATAACAGCCCCGGTGCAGAGAGCGCCCTCCCACTTTGACCTTATATGGGCCAGATCAGTGAAACTGTCCTTACTGTCAGTGTAAAGAAGTTTAACTACATATTGAATCCTTCACATATCTTAGTATAGGAAAATAGAAGTGCAATTTCAACAGTAGATGCTGTAGTTAATGGAAGAAATCTGTCAGCTATAATTATTATCTTTTTATTTATTCATTACTTACTGCAGATCCTCCATAAAAATATTGAAAATTCTATTGTAGCTAAAAAAAACCCAAACCTAACCAAAAAACTCAGGAAGTTCTGTTTTTAAATGTGTATCTATTTCTCAGATTCTCTGGTGTCGCATGAATGGCAATGTCAGTAGGAGATGCTGTAAAACTTCTGAAAATACAATTAAAAGTCCAAAATCGCTGCCTTCCTTCATACTTTCCAAAGCCATCCTTGGACCGAATTGGAGCCTTTGGTGGGCCAGTTCTTGCCCCCGACCCTTATGTTTGACACCACTGAGGTAGCATAAGAGAAGCAAATATTGGCACTCAGGGTGTTTTGTTTTTCTTATAAACAGCTGTGTTAGAGCACCACACACGGACAATAGAATAGAATAGCCTTTATTGTCATTGTACAGAGTACAACGAAATTGGAGTGCCACTCCCTTGGTGCAAGTTTCAATAATAAATATAAATGTAAAATATAAAAAGTACAAAAAAAACAATCGTAAGTACTCAAACAATAGTATGTACAATATATACAGGATAGCAGCATTGGCACAACATGTATGATAGTTTGGATTGCAAGTTTAGCGCATGACACGACCCTGAGGAGTGGTTTTTTGGGCTTTTTTTCCTTGCAGTTCCACAACAAGGTAACATGTTTCATGCTGCACCAGATAGAGGAGCCGTGTTCACTGGGGGCCCACGCCGGTGTCATAGTACCACCGTCCTGGATCATCAAAGTCAGGAAACCACAGGTATGCTCATACCCTCGCCGAGCACCCTCCTCGATCGCTCTGCTGGTTGATAAAGTTCACTGGGTGTCATCTTGTGACAGTAATGAGAAATGATTTTGTCGATCTAAGTTTAAGACTCAAAAAGAAGGCGTGTCACAAGCTCAGTGTGTGCTAATGTGTGTGTGATTTTTGGGGTATGATGAGATGCGAACTGACACGTGTCTGGTCTGTCTGAGGGAACTCTGGGATTGTGTCTCTGTTATCACACACAGACACGCACACACATACTGCATATCTCTGTCGCGTCACATGCTTCATTGCACTTTTAATTACCATCACAGGGGACGTGGTGACAGTGAACTAACCACTGAACTCTGTGTGTGTATGTGTACCTTAGAGCTCCCTAAAGAACTCTGCCAGAAGAAAAAAGCGGACATCTTTCAAACGAAGGACAAGCAAGAAGGGATTAGATGTAAGTGATATTATCAGTTACACTGTCATAATACATTTTTAGCTCATGTTTATCCTTCATGTGATCTCGACTCAAGTAAAAAAAAAAACATTAAACTAAATAAAAGTCGTTGCCGGCTGACTTCAAACTGTGTTTATAAAACATCGACTTCATTTAGGTATGAAATGAAAAATTCTTGCTTTAAATCTGCCTGGATTCTGATGGCCAGCAGGGGGCGACTGCTCTAACTGTGCAAAAAAATTAGATCGAGTAGAGGTATTTGGAGAAGTTACCTTATTTCTTTTCATTTTAAACACACTAAATGTTTTCTTAGTTATTTTTCTTTTATTAGTCTTCACTTGAGCATGATGAAAAAATATTTACAAAAAATATGGAGGAGGAAGTAGAATATAACTGAGGGCATGGCTAACCTGTGATTGACATGCCGGTATTGTATCTGTGCAGAGCTGTTTTTCAGTCATGTCCACACCTCGCTCTCATGCTTAGTTTAAAGAAGAAAAAAAGAACAACACCAAAATTGCCAAATCAAACCAAGCTCTAGGAAGCTATGTCCATCTTTGCTATACAGTCTATTATTGGATTATTAGGGTCATCTGATCTCAAATCATCGCGGGCTTCTGCTCCACCATCTGGAACTGGATCGACCGACTGATTTTCATAAAATACAAAAATTGATATATCAAGCTAAAATTTCTCAGCAGTCATCATATATGCCCAAACTTTGCACCATATTGAATGGATCATGATTTTAACATTTATGTTATGTGAACATTCTAATATTTTGATCTTATTGATCTCTTAGGAGTCTAAATGGCGTCCGTTCATGCTGAAGCCTCTCCCCTCTCCCCTCATGAAGCCCATCTTGGTTTTTGTGAATCCAAAGAGCGGCGGCAACCAGGTGAGCAAATGTCTTTAATCTTCTGTTTTCATCTGTTTGAGACGCCTTCTCTTCTCATTGTTGTTTGGAGATATTGTCGCTGCCTCACCTCGTCTGTCCTCAGCCTGTCTATAATTAATTTTCATTGTGAGGATGTCGGTTCAGACAAAAATTTGGTTTATCAGATGAACTGAGCTGAGCTGTTTTCACACATGAACTCCAAACATTATCGGGAGATTCGGGCGGAAACATCTTCAGAAGTTTCACAAATGTATCACACAACAGGAAACGGTTAGCTTCAGAAGTGTTGGCGCTGCAGGAAATACTCCGTTTTGTTTAGGCGAGCATGCAGGAGGTAGGACACAGCTGTGAATCCACCGGAAGATTACCTGCACAGCTCTCAGATATATGGACAACACGCAGATTTGTACTGGGGAGTTAAACAAGTTAAAGGCTCATTCAGCTGAGGCAGATGTTTGCATCTTACCTGCAACTCCGTCAGGTAAAAGTTCAGGGCTCCACTGCTTACTATAATCTTTTAGACTTCATCAGCAACATCTTCAGAACATAACACTGGGTTTAGTTTAAGATTTGGAGATTCATTTCTCAGATTTTCAGATTTTTTTTTAATTTGCTTGCTGTTAGTGGCAGCTTTTTAAATATTGTAACATGAAGGAAGCTGAATTTTTTTCTGCTTTTTCTGTAGGGTGCCAAAGTGTTACAGATGTTTATGTGGATCTTGAATCCTCGTCAAGTCTTCGACCTTTCGCAGGGTGGACTGCGCGAGGCGTGAGTAATCTTCCCTTGGGGAGAGTGCTGGTGTTTCATTACAGCCTACACAGTTAGGCTGAAATCACCCTGAGCTTGACAGTTTAGTACCAATTACCTACTTTAAATCTTCATTTCACATCACCCTTATCTCAGTCCACCTCTGAGGGGGGAAAGCCATCTTTTCACTCCTCTTTTATTTAAATCCAAAGCTCACAGGTGAACAATTTTCATAAAATCTGGACCAGTTACACCCACTCAACACTAATCAGCAGTCTTTTATTCTATAATATTACCTCTCTGCTTTGTTAGGTTGGAGTTGTATCGCAAAGTGCCAAATCTGAGGATCCTTGCCTGCGGAGGAGATGGCACGGTGACTATACATCTCTAATAGCCACTATTTTCTATTCTAAATTTCTACAACTTACACTTTGCCTTCATGTCTCGCTGTAGGTGGGTTGGATCCTGTCTGCTCTCGATGAGCTGCAGATGAATCCCCAGCCTCCGGTCGCTGTGCTTCCTCTGGGAACAGGAAATGACCTCGCCAGGACGCTCAACTGGGGTGGGGTGAGTTCCTAGCCTTGACTTCTGCTGCAGAGTTGATGGAGAGCAGCAGGGCACAGCGGTGTGCCCTCTCTGAGTTTATGTGCAAATTTTTTGCACAACATGACTAAATAAATTAGATCTAACGAAGAAAAAGAAGAATAAGAGCAACAACAGCTCTTTCAGCATAAAAAACAAAAACATATTTAAGGGATTTAGAGAAGGGAACATTTGCGTTCTTCATGAGAGAGATGGAAATTTCCTTCTTCAGATTAAACATGACAGGTTTATAGCCATGTTGAGTATGCTCAAATATTAATATGCAGTAAAAATAAATTCTCTATTCCCCACCACCTCGGAGAGCTACAAAATGCCTCACCCACATTCCAGGATGTCTAAAAGAGCTCCCTTCCTCCATATAATCTCCCCCCCTGACCCTTAAGCCCGTTTGACCTCTTCAAAGCACAACTAAGATGACATGCTTGTTGGTGACATCACAGCAGCTTCCTGTAATTATGTTTCCTTTTTAATTTTAATTTTCTGCAGTTTTAAACAACTTTAAACACAACACAGAATCAACCCTCTGACAGCAAAACGGCTCGCTTAGCGCACCCCACCTCACTGGGAAACATCACAGCAGTGACACAGCTGCAGTGGGTGTTGTATTCAGAGCAGGTTTAAGTGTACAGAACAAACTGAGGTACAGAGTTTATAAATCCATAGGTCGAGTTGGCAGTTCACTCAGGGTTTTTCGTGCATAGGAAACCAAAAGTGTTTGGGTTTCCCTCAGGGGAAAATCACTTATACTGTAAGAAAAAACAAACCATTTCCATCATTTTTTTAAAGTAGGGTTTCATTTCCTCAAGCGTAAAATACACTGTTTGTTTTCACATTCCAGAAATAATAGAAAAAAACGCATGGATGTCTTTAAGTAAGGTATCCCAGACTCATCGTTTCAATTATATGTGGACCAGTTGTGCTCACTGAGACTCACACACCAAAATAATAAGCCGCAGTTCATTGCTGCAAATTTTCTGAAATCTCTTTGTTATTATATTGTTTATTGTCTCATAGGGGGTCCAAACAATCGTTTTTTCCCCAGTGAGCTGTAAAAGATCCTCGTCTATTGCACAACAAACACAAAGCAAATATCATGAAGACACAGCTGCTAAAAATGACAAAACAATTTCCAAACTTATACAAAGAAAGTTCTCTATTCATTAAGAAAAGCTTTACTCATTTCATTAAGAAAAACACAGGAAAAATATGACCAAGATTTGTTGAAAGTAAACCAGAAACCCCACCATTTTACTACTTTTAGAGATTTTGATTCCTCCGACTACCGCCCGGAGCACAGAAATGTGAATAAACGTGCTTATATATTTCCTGATATTGTTGCAAGTGCTGATTATCATCCAGCATTGACAGCTGAATTAAACAGTGGGCCACCAGCCCTACAAATAGCAAAAAAAACCCCAAAACAATAAAACCCCTCTGGGGTAAGAAAACGACTCAGTTGACCACAATCTGCAATCTACTGACATCTAGTGGTGAGATTTTACACACTGTAACTTTAAAGATGTCTAGAGGAAATAGTGCAATTAAGTACATTTTTCAGATGTACCTTTTTCACTCTTGAAAATTTACAGTTTACACAAGCTAAATTTATGGTAAAAGACTCGTATGGAGTCTCAAACATAAAGCATATTCTACTGTTGTCAAGGTGGAACTTTTTCTAGAAATAGCCTTACAAAAGCTGGAAGTGTGGCATTTGTTGGATTATGAAAGGCGAGCCCTCCTCTGCTGGTTTTGACCTTCCTCTCCCCAAAACTTTCAGAAAGTCTGACAAAAATCTGCAACTTGTTCCTAAAACTCTGATGAAGCACTAAAGTTTGAAGAATCTGCCTCTTGACACACGTTTCAATAACAGCACTGGAGCAGATCTTTTACGAGCACCCACATTCTTCCATGAGACTTTTCATGAGATCAGCTATGTAGGCTTGTAGTGAGGATAATACATCAAATATTTCACGTATGAGTCAAAAGTTAGAGTGAAAAAAATTGATATGTCAGCAATTTTTCTTCACATTTTTCAGATAATTGGCATAAATGTATTAGTAAATTGATAAGAGGTCTTTACAAAAATCTATTTTCTGGCTGACATGCTGCAGTAAAATGACAGCATGCAGTACAGTGGGGCAAAAAAGTATTTAGTCAGCTACCGATTGTGCAAGTTCCCCCACTTAAAATGATGACAGAGGTCAGTAATTTGCACCAGAGGTACACTTCAACTGTGAGAGACAGAATGTGAAAAAAAAATCCATGAATTCACATGGTAGGATTTGTAAAAAAATAATTTCGTAAATCAGGGTGGAAAATAAGTATTTGGTCACCTCAAACAAGGAAAGTCTCTGGCTCTCACAGACCTGTAACGTCTTCTGTAAGACGCTTTTCTGTCCCCCACTCGTTACCTGTATGAATGGCACCTGTTTGAACTCATCATCTGTATAAAAGACACCTGTCCACAGCCTCAAACAGTCAGACTCCAAACTCCGCCATGGCCAAGACCAAAGAGCTTTTGAAGGACACCAGGAAAAGTATTGTAGACCTGCACCAGACTGGGAAGAGTGAATCTACAATAGGCAAGCAGCTTGGTGTGAAAGAATCAACTGTGGGAGCAATCATCAGAAAATGGAAGACATACAAGACCACTGATAATCTCCCTCGATCTGGGGCTCCACGCAAGATCTCATCCCGTGGGGTCAAAATGATCATGAGAACGGTGAGCAAAGATCCCAGAACCACACGGGGGGACCTGGTGAATGACCTGCAGAGAGCTGGGACCAAAGTAACAAAGGTCACCATCAGTAACACACTACAACGGCAGGGAATCAAATCCCGCAGTGCCAGACGTGTTCCGCTGCTGAAGCCAGTGCATGTCCAGGCCCGTCTGAAGTTTGCCAGAGAGCACATGGATGATACAGCAGAGGATTGGGAGAATGTCATGTGGTCAGATGAAACCAAAGTAGAACTCTTTGGTATAAACTCAACTCGTCTTGTTTGGAGGAAGAAGAATACTGAGTTGCATCCCAAGAACACCAAACCTACTGTGAAGCATGGGGGTGGAAACATCATGCTATGGGGCTGTTTTTCTGCCAAGGGGACAGGACGACTGATCCGTGTTAAGGACAGAATGAATGGGGCCATGTATCGTGAGATTTTGAGCCAAAACCTCCTTCCATCAGTGAGAACTTTGAAGATGAAACGAGGCTGGGTCTTCCAACATGACAATGATCCAAAACACACCGCCCGGGCAACAAAGGAGTGGCTCCGTAAGAAGCATTTGAAAGTCCTGGAGTGGCCTAGCCAGTCTCCAGACCTCAACCCCATAGAAAATCTGTGGCGGGAGTTGAAAGTCCGTGTTGCTCGGCGACAGCCCCAAAACATCACTGCTCTCGAGAAGATCTGCATGGAGGAATGGGCCAAAATACCAGCTACTGTGTGTGCAAACCTGGTAGAGACCTATAGTAAACGTTTGACCTCTGTTATTGCCAACAAAGGTTATGTTACAAAGTATTGAGTTGTATTTTTGTTATTGACCAAATACTTATTTTCCACCCTGATTTACGAATAAATTCTTTACAAATCCTACCATGTGGATTCATGGATTTTTTTTTCACATTCTGTCTCTCACAGTTGAAGTGTACCTCTGGTGCAAATTACTGACCTCTGTCATCATTTTAGGGGGGGGAACTTGCACAATCGGTGACTGACTAAATACTTTTTTGCCCCACTGTATATGTGACAGTAAGGATGGACCTTGTAGTTCAGTATCACTGAGTGTAATGAACTGTGCCGTCTCAGCCCTGCACCGAGCTGAACGATGAAGCAAGGACACGCGAATGACTTCAGCAGCTCCGGATGGAGCAGCAGTGAAAGCAATGATAAAACATTCCCGATACGTACAGAGATACACGCTTGGAGCGAAGACGGCCCTGAGTGGAAATTCTTATCTGCCATGTGATTAATTAGTCTAATTGCTCTATCCTTTTTGTCCTCTATTTCATCAAGTATTTCTGACTGCAGGCATTTTATCCACTTTGTCTATTTCCATTTCCTCTCCATTCCTCTGAGTTCTCATTTCTTATCCTTTTTTTTAACTGTTGGTGCATCTCCTTTCCTTTCCTTTCCTTTCCTTTCCTTTCCTTTCCTTTCCTTTCCTTGCCTTGCCCTCACTGCTCTTCTCCTTGCTCCATTCCTTGTTCTCACTCTTTCATCCTCTTTTCTTCCTTTGACTTTCCCTTTTGCGCTTTCTTTAGAGTTTTTTTTTTTTCATTTCCTACCTTTCCTCTTTTTCCCAACTTTCTCCAACTTCTTTTGTTTTCATTTAATTTTTCTTTCATTTTCTGGACCTTCCTTCTTCATCCTGCTGTCTTTCCTTTACTGCTGTTCCCTCTCCTTCTTGCTCCTTTCTTTCTTCTCGCCTCTTTTTCTTTCAGTCTATATTGAAAGATAAATAAAATATATCTATTTCCTGTCCTCTATATTGTCCTTGTCTTTCCATTCTCTACTTTGCTCATATTTTCTTCCCTTTTCATTTATTTTTCCCCCCATTTGCTGGACCTTCCCTCATCATCTTGCTCTCTTCTCATTTAGTTTGCATTAGCTTTCTTTCCATTTCTTTCCACTTTTTTCTCTCCCCCTTCATTCTTCTCTTCTGTTTTGCTCATCTTTCCTCCTATCGCTTGTTTTTCCTTTCCTTCCCTTCCCTTCCCTTTCTCTCTCACCCTTATTTCTCCCTCTTCCTGCTATTTTATATTGCTTATGTCTCTTTCCTTCTTCTGTCCTGATCTCTCTCTCATCTCTCTGACACTCAGTTGTGTTACTCACCGCCGTATCTGTTCCACCTCTTGCTGCGTGAGTGTGACTGTCCCTGTGACTTGCTGTTTGAGTGTGAGCTCTCCTGCTGAGTGTGTGTCCTTGTTAGTACTTACATTGCGGGGACATAAATGGTGCGGACTTGTTTTGGACACACAAACGATCGTTTCCTCCATGCAAATGACTTGATTTGAGTGTTAATAACCTGTTGGGTCAAAGGTTAGGTTTTAGATTGTGTAGGTTTTGGTTAAATTAAGTTAATGTAAGTTGAAACCTGACTGTGTGTGTGTCAGCAGCTAAGAGGCCCTGCTGATGAGCGCTACTACCATCAGATTGTTTTCTCCTTATATGTGTGTGTGTTGTCTTTTGTCTTGTTTCCTTTATTTGTCCAAAAGGAGGGAGAAAATAAAAGCAAACGAAGACAGAAAACTGTACATGAGAGGGATCGACCTGCGGAGATTGTGAAATCCGTGGACGTGCATCATGTGGTTGTGTTTGATGCTCTTAAAGGTTATGGTTATAGTGGCAGTAATGAAACCTCAATCATCGCTCACTGAAATCCAATCATCACATGCTGTTCCTGTCTGCTCCTCTCTTTTATTACTTAGTGTGTTTTCTTGCGCGTGGTGTTCTTGTTAGCAAGGAGATGAAAGAGGAATGGAGCGACAAGAAACAGCCTTAGCCTCTTCTTCAGTCTTCCACTGTCCACTTTCTCTCTCGTTCTTCTCTGCATCCCAGTCTGTTTTTAGCTGCTGTGCACATTCCTTAAATGTGATTCTCAAAATTTCTACTCCTTTTTTTTAATATATATATTTTTTTTTTTTATTGCCTGAACTCAATGAGTAAAGCTGTGTGTATATCACAGCATTTAGACTGATTTACAAACAGCTAACAAATCCTCCAGAACTGGCAGTTCTTACAACATTCTTACAGTTCTTACAATTATTTGCTATTATTATTATTTATTTATTTTTTACTAGAAGTTACTCTTACATGGTGTTAACCAAACTCTAGCAGAATTAATTTTTACTGCAATATTTGATTTAGTTTTAGTCATAATTTAGACATCTAAATACTTTTAGTTTTATTCGACTTGTAGTTTTATTATTAAGATTATAGGAGCCAAATTCAAAAGTTGATTCATTGACTAAAGTGAAAAGGTTTGTTATGTCTTTACAGAGCAGAGGTGCTCCACAAGGTTTACAAAGTCTTATTTTGAAATCCTTCCAAGTGTTGTCGTTTTCATGAGAAACAGGGGAGCTGGTTGTACGGATGCCATTTGTCAGGTCTAACCTTCATTCTGATTGGATCATTTCCTAAATCGTCCCGCCTTTCTGCACAACTTAATTAGTTCTGATTGGATCTTATCTCTCTGAATATTTTGTTTATAGTTGTTGATGAAAGTGTCGCTATGTTTCATCAGTTTTCGTCCGTTAGTTTTCGTTTAGTTATTCTCATGTTTTGTGAGGGGGGGAAAAAACTGCGATGAAAATTATTGGTCAGTGAAATTAAGACTGAACCCTAGATGGTTTACCAATGACCCAGTGGGTTTTAAACTATCATGTTTGTATAGGTTCTCAGTCATCCAAGTCATAGTCGTCTTGAGAGATATTTAACCCCTAGTGGGACTTCTCCCCTTTGTTTGTTGACCTGCTACTGATCATGAGAGTTGTCACATGAGCCAAAGTGTGAACAAAGACTAGGGTCTTAAATCATCACCAGGGATTAAGGGTAAACCACTATGTGAGACATTGTGACCTATTGAGGTAACATGAAGTGGGGTGTGAGTGGGGGTTGAAGCACATGGGGAGGGATCTCTAGACTGCATTGCAGGTAGCTGATACCTGGTGTCGTACTGTAAAGTTTTATTTTTAGCTAAATGATATAAAAAAAAACCACTTCCCTGAAAATGACTCCACAATTTTTCATTCAGCACTGATGGGTCTTTACAGATGTGAAGGTCAACCCCTTCCATATGCTCTAATGCTCTCCCATATTGTCATGAATGCTGGATTCTGCCCTGTTATTAAAGAGGCTGGGCCTCTCTGATAGATCGAGCAGCTCTGAGGTCCTCTTTTTATACCCAGTTAAGTTTCCATTTAACCTAAAAGGTTATCAGATGCTTCACCGGGTCATTTTGTAGCAACCTACACAACCTTTACACAACCTTTCCAGCATTTTATTAATATTCATTGCTAGCATTCAGTTAAAAAGAAAATCTCACTTTATTAAACGTTTGCGTTACAACATGTCATCTTTGTCCTATTTTCACTTACTCAAATAGTTTAGATGTTTTGCAGTGTGTATTTATCCTCACTTTGCACAGATGCATATTAAATGTAACATTAAAACCCTTTTGCACGGATGACTGTGTAGATGTTGGGTAGTTAAATTTTCCTCTGTCTTGTGTTTGCTATCCTCCCTGCAGGGCTACACGGATGAACCAGTGTCCAAGGTTTTGTGTCATGTGGAGGACGGTTCGGTGGTGCAGCTGGACAGGTGGAACCTCTTAGTAGAAAAGAGCTCTGCCCAGCCAGAGGAGGGCACACAGAAGGTCAGTTTGTGCTGGAAATTAGGATGTGTGCGTTCCATATTAGGTACACTGTTGGAATAAAGATAGGGCAGTTTTGGTGCTTTATTTTTCAGCCTCTGAGGTTTTTGCTTGTTAATATCTATACCGTGGGTTTAAAGAGTTGGGCTTTACCAAAAAGTGTGAATTTGGATGAGTATCAGTAGCTAAATGGTCAGAGTTTATGCTCAAAGAGGATGTGAGCTGTCTATGTGAATAAATTACATTATATTTATGCAAAGAGGCCCACTTCAGTGTTTTTCCTGCATCCTCAGCTGCCCTTGAACGTGTTCAACAACTACTTCAGCCTTGGCTTCGACGCGCACGTCACCCTGGAGTTCCACGAGTCCAGAGGTGTGTGAAAGCTATTTTAATATCACTTTTTTAAAATTTTCACCTTGTGTCAACTCTATTCATGTTCCATTAGGTCCTCCTCTCCCTAGTTAATAGATCATTTTCTGCTTTTGTTAAAAAAAAAGAAGAGAAAGATGAGCAGAATGAAAAATTTACAAAGGATACTGAATCAGATTCACACATTCAGGCATGCACAAATGAGTCAGTCTCTCCGTGTTACTCTGCACCGCTCTGCGTGAGTTTTCACATTTGTAATCCCACGGTCTTTGTCGCATCTTTAATGTATTCTCCTTCTTTCTCTCTGCCTCTCTAATTGTGTCTTTCCAGAGGCCAACCCAGAAAAGTTTAACAGTCGCTTCCGCAACAAGATGTTCTATGCAGGAGTGAGTGTCCCCGATGACTTTCTTTCTGCTCACACATCCACAGACACACAAACCTTTGGAGCCGAAACTCTTCCTCCCAGTCACTGTCTGTCTGACACACAGACACATGTTAGGATGAGCAGGAAGAAGTCTGGTTTAAATAAGCGAGAATGAGGTGCTGCAAAAAAATCACTCAGAGTAAATACACATGGAGGCAAAGAGAATATCTCAGCTGTTTTTCAAAAGAAAGTAAAAGCTACAGAATGTAAAGAAACATCTGCTTTGACTTTATATCCCAAGCCTCTGTACACTGAGCAGATTTCAGGTGAAGTTGAACGAGGACCAGGCTGTACTTTTGAGCAGTACCAGGTTGTGCCACCTGACGGTGCAGGGAGTCAGTCTAGCGTTCACTTTGAGGGCCTTTACACACCAGCATGTAAAATCTGTGCAAATGTTTCATGAATTAAAACATTTTTCAGACTTATCTATTTTTAATGCAGCCATTCACATCGACCGCATACCTTCGCCAGATGATTTTTGGGTAATTTTCCTGTAATCCAGTAATTTTACTGATCTGTAGTGAGCCGAGGTCATAGCACGCTGTTTTGATCTTTGATCTATTGTTAATTAATCCAGCATTTTTCCAACTTCGTGCAGCTCTAGCTTCTGAACCTCCCCGATTGAAATAAAAATTCTTAAACAAGAATTTTTAAATTCGGAGCTATTTGGAATGAGCAAATTCTCTGTGAAGGATGTGAGTTGGAAGGGAGAAGTGATGGGTGGGAGTTGGAGCGGAAGCGTGTCACGGAGTTATCTCTTTTTAATGAGGGAAATGTAATGAACTGTAATTCTGTTTGATTGGGCCCCATTCTCTCTCTGTGTGTGTGTGTGTGTGTGTGTGTGTGTGTGTGTGTGTGTGTGTGTGTGTGTGTGTGTGTGTGTGTGTGTGTGTGTGTGTGTGTGTGTGTGTGTGTGTGTGTGTGTGTGTGTAGGCTGCGTTCTCAGATTTCCTCCAGAGGAGCTCCAGGGATTTGTCCAAGCACGTCAGAGTGGTGGTGAGTGTTAACACACTCTCTCCGTCTTCTCTCTCGCTCTCCGCCTGTATCGTTTTCTGTGTCGACATGTTTGGGCAGCAGGTCGGTGATTAAAATCCCGCCCTCTGCTTCTCTTTTAACGGCCGCCGTGCTGAAGTGTCCTTCATTAAAGTCTTACAAGAACCACCGCGCTGCTCATTCACTGACCCTGAACACTGACATCTACCCCAGGGTTAGAGCACCAACAGTTTTTTATTAACATTTCTAATGACGATTTCATTGGTTAATTGAAAAATTCCTTAAAAAAAGAAAAATGCCCAGAGATAAAATGAGCATATTTAAAGGGACAGTTCACCCCATCTCAGGGGTGATCCAGTATGTGGTGCAGAGCAGATTTCTGGTTTGTTGTCTCTCTCTTCATGTTAGCCCTGTGATGGACTGGTGACCTGTCCAGAGTGCGCTGCGCCCTCTGCTCTGTGCTAACTGGAGCAGGCTTGGACGATATCAGCTGTAGGTTCAATTCAACATTAACATCTACAGAGGAATGCAGGAGAGGGGTACAACAGTATCTACAGCTATCTGTAAAGCATGGCAGAGGCTGTGTCTTGGTTGGGGGCTGTATTTCAGGCAGTAGTGTTGGATATCTTGGAAAATCTTATGGAATTAGGAATGCAGATAAGTACTATCAGATTTTGATCCAGCATGTAATGTCCACCCTGGACAGGCTGGCTTAATTTTTTTAGGTATGACATTGATCCCAAATACAATGTCAATGCAGTAAAATCATTCCTGGATGAAACACACAGTCATGGATTGGCCTCCCCGGAGCTCGGACCTCAACGTTACTGAAGCAGTGTGGGATCATCTACAGGCAGAAAAAACATCCAAAGACGAGCTTTGAATGTCTTTCAAGAAGTCCGGAGAACTATTCCTCAAGACTACTTAAAGAAAGTACAAGAAAGCAGCCCCAGAAAGTTCAGGCTGTGTTGAAGAATAAAGTTGCTTATATGAAATATTGATTTTCGATTGCCCTTATATTAGTAATTTGTCAATATTAGCTATTGATATATAGGTATTGTCTCTTGTGATGGCTGATTAACTATAACTAAAAAAGTAAAAAAGAAATGAAAGAAACACCCTTCAGCCTTGTTATGAGTGTTGATGTTGCAAAGTTTGTCCACCAGAGGGCGCCCTGCAAATTTCCTGTTGGGAACTCATATGTGTGAAATAGCACATCTGATTGATTTGACTTGATTTGGTGGTGAACGGTCCCTTTGATTTTTTTTCCCAGTTAACAAACCCTGTAACTATCTTGGACTGAGTAGAACATAACTAAATTACAGGATTGTTTACTGTGTCTTCAGTGTCAGTGATGCCCCGAGAGCAGCATCTGTTGAAATTTCATGCCAGAGCAGCAAAACACAAACAGTTTTTTGATCGTCTCGGAACATTTTCCGACTTCCCTACTCTGATGCTAACTCTCATCCTCAAGCTTCTTGTTTCCTGCTGCTGATATAAATCTTTGGATAATAAATATATCCCGTCATTCAAAGAAAGATAGAAAAAAAGACTCAATCGTTTCCTTAAAACAATCTTGGCGCTGCAGTTTTGAACAAATATTAGTAACACAGGAGGAAAAACTGTTTGTTTGGGATTGTTTTCAGCTGCTAATTTGTTGTTGCTGTGAGTATTTATAGCAGCATCAGCAGATTTACAGTGCCCTCGTTCATTGTAATGCAGGAACTTGTTAGAGGTGTTAACGCTGATGTGTTTTATATAGTTTCTGTGAGAATAATGGAGCTGTGTGGCACAGAGGAATGAGCTCAAGCTTCGGATGCGCAGCGCTGAGGCTTTCTGTTGGTTTTGGTCTTTTCCTTGGATTTATTTATAGAAGCATATTGAATTTGACTGGACTTATCCTTTAATTATGCTTTGATTTAGAAACTTTCCTGGTGGAAAATAGATAATTGAATATGAAAAATCTGACCCAGAAATGGTTTGTACATTTAGAAAATGGCACATCTTACGTGGTTGCAGCAATAAATCATTAACGGCATCCTGCAGGGAGCTGAGTGTGGCGTGACCCTTGACCTGATTAATCAGAACGTGGGGGCGGGTTGGACCGAGAGTGAGGACAGTGAAACTGAGAGTAAAAGCTGAGAACGGCGAGCGACGCTTGAAATGACATTTAAAAGCAAAACAAACGTTCTGAGAGTGAAAATAAGTTGTTATACTGCAAATATGTGGCGCACATTCTGTGAAACGTTGGCTCAATGTTTCTCTTTCCATGTGTTTCACAGTGTGATGGCACAGATCTCACTCCCAAGATCCAGGAGCTGAAGTTCCAGTGCATAGTGTTTCTAAACATTCCCAGGTAGGTGATCATGGAGTGGCCACGATGGCGCAAATCGATGGTTCCCAGGAATTTCTTGACCTGAACTTAGTCAGGCACTGTCTAGGTTTCTGAATATTATTGATTAGCTTCATAGCTTCAAATTCAAATTCAAATTCAAATTTTATTTGTCACGTACACAGTCATACACAGTACGATATGTAGTGAAATGCTTGGACAACTGCTCGTGACCTAAAGAAAACAAAAAAGGAAAAGGCTATGAATAAGATAGGAAATAAATATGAAAAATTAAAAAGGGTCAATTTAACTAGGAAGGAATAAAATATAAATTAAGGTTAAAAATGAAATAACTGTACAACACAAATTAGAATGAAGGGTAAATGGCTTCAACACAAAGGGGTGGGGGTGTAATGGTGTGGAGGATTTTTTCCATTCTTTGTGACCCTTATTAGCCTACCCAAGTCTTGTTGCTGACCACGCTGATTCCTACTCATCCTCCGATGGTTGCTTCCAGCAGGATGACACATGGTGTCAAACTGGTTTATTGAACCTGCACACAGATGGACTCCACAGTCCCATCTCAGTCCAACAGAGCACCTTTAGTAGTGGTGGAACAGGAAATTCTCATCATGGATGTGCAGTCCACAAATGTGGAGCAACTGTGTGATGCTATCATGCCAACATGGATGTTTCCAGGACGTTGTTGAGTCTGTGGCATGAAGAATTAAGGCAGCTAAAGCTGTGACATAGATGTGTTGTGTCTTTGAACATCTGTGAGGGGGCGGTACTTATTTTCCCGTCACTCAGTGCTGCTGCAGTGTCAGTTCTGTCTCGATGCCTTTTGTGAACCAGACAGATTTGAGAGCTTTTCCTTCCCAGCAGAGGTCTGGCTATTTTCTTTTTTTCGAAGAAATTCACGGCGGACAGACTCCGAGCGTCATCAGTCAGTCATTGGTGAATTTAGTAGCAGTTTTGTGATCTGTGGCTCAGTCAGTCTTTTTGAAAACAGTGTTGCTGTGTTGCTTCTTTGTGAATTTCTTGGTATTTGCTCTGCTAAGAATAAATAAAAACCAAAGAAAAAAAGTTCACTGTTATTGAAAAACGTGTAAATAATGGGGCATCTGTAAGTTTTAATTTCTGTCTAACAATTCAGTGTGTGACAAAGCATGTTAAATAGCATCTAGAAAACTGTGAGACACCACAACTCTCTTGTGACTACCTGACTAATTAAATTCTTGAAGTGGGCTGAAGGTAGAGGCAGGAGGTGTAATTCAGGTTTTATGCTCGCTGAAGCTGTTGACTTCAGTCCTCCCACGCAGCCTGGAGTTAAAATACTCCTCAGTCAATAAAAACAAATTTCATACCTGTTCGGTCAGAGGAAAGTCTGCGCCGTCACTGGAGAAAGATGAATCAGCCAGAAAAGCACCTGATTTGATATTTGAGTTTAACCTTTGCTAAAAAACATCAGCAGTGAGCGTGTCATCAACAGGACGCCACAGGGGGAGCCCAAATGACATTTAAGGTGTTTTTGAGACTCTGTTGTTGCATGATTGTGTTAACACGTGTGCAGATACTGTGCCGGCACCATGCCATGGGGAAACACGGGAGACCATCGAGACTTTGAACCTCAGCGGCATGACGACGGCTGCATCGAGGTTATCGGCTTCACCATGGCCTCGCTGGTAAGAATTTCAAAAAAGAAGCAGCGCAACGAAGAGAAAACCACATCTGAAAACGTCTCTGTTGTCCACTAGGCAGCGCTGCAGGTTGGAGGTCACGGAGAGAGACTTCACCAGTGCAGAGAGGTCATCCTCACTACCTACAAGACTGTACCTGTTCAGGTAATATTAGAGTGACAGAGTGTAATATAACAACCTCATACCTGCAGGATTCAAAGCAAGAGCAGCTAGAGAATAATCAGAGTATAAGAAAACAACAAACATGTAGAATTCCTCAGAATAAACACAAACTGTTGTAGTAAATGTACAGTTTTATTTAGGAGTGTCTAACATAAGGCCCGGGGGCCAGAATCGACCCAGCAAATACTCCAATCTGGCCCACTGGACAGCTTTGGAAAATGTGAAGAAGTTTTACGGCTTTTCCTTTTGATAAAGACCCTTCACCACCAAAACTGTTTATGCTGCATTAAAGTAATTAAGTAATAGATAAACAATTAAATTTAATATACCTAGTTTAGCTTGTATTAAAAACATTAATTAATAAAAACTTTGAAATTGAAATGGTACGTGACAGCAAACTTTAGGTCCGTGCTTCTAAGACTTCCTCTGGTACAAAAACCTGGATAAAGTTCCCACTTCCCCATCTCACATGTTTAATTGATCAGTAACAATTAAAAACAATTGACTTCAGGTGAAATTAATTTCAGCACAGTCAGTCCTGTTTCCCAGCATGAAGATCAACCTTTTTAAATTCCGTATGTTTCTGGTGATGCACCTCACAGTTTGACAAACCTTTGAGATGACTGACTGATTTTTAATTTTTCTCTCTTAAATATTTGATTCAATTCTTCGTTTAGCTCTGAGTAACTCTGCAGGGGACAATATTTCATTATTCATTCTTTATTTCATTATTATTTAATCATATCTATTAATGATATTTAAAACGTAACTATAGTGCTGGCTGTAATATAAACAGAGAAGCAACAACGTTGAGAAACAAGAAAAGGGTTAAACAGTTTTTCTCAGATGGGTACATGAGAACCTCTCGGGGTAGTGTAGAGTACTGCATTGTTTAAAGTAACAGTCATGCAGAAATGATGAAGTCATTCAGCTGCAGTAAATGCAATGAGAAGTGCGAATGTATTAAAATTGGCTATATATTTAATTTTATTTGTGATATTTAATGACAAACAGACAAAAGTGAGCCAGATGTTTGTGTGCGGCCTCTTTTCTGCAGTGACTCTGATCAAAAGCTCAGATAGGAGACAGAGATGAGAGCTGTTAAAACCCTCTGTTTGTGATGAGCAGGGGCTCAGTGTGAGATAAAGAAGGATTATTTTGAGCTGAATCGTGCAATGCCGCTCTAGTAGAGTCCGCTATACTGTGCTGCGGTTTGTGAGATTTATTTAACCTGACATTTCTTTTTATCAGGCCAGGTCAAATAAACATTACACAAGCTATTACTAAATTGAAGACGGCTCAAAACATCTCCAAGAGCCCAACCAAACCTTCAAACAATCTGTTTTGGGTAAAATGACCCCAATAATGACCATTTAAAAAAAGAAAAAGAAGGTTGAGCTCATATAAAGTCATCAGGGAAGTGTTTACTGAGGTCACAGAGCAAGTGAGTTGAGGGCCGTTTTCATTTTATAGAAGTGGAGGTCTCTTTCCAAACAAGAGTCACCCTCTGCTGGTCCTTAGAAAGAATGCAGGTTTAAGACGTCCGTCTTTTAAACTGTTTGTGAGTGCAAGTAGCTTCTTGGCTGATTTTCGGATTTATATGCTGCTGATGTAAGCCTAAAAGAAGCAAATACTATGAAGTCATTGGTTTGACTTTTAAAACATGACCTCAGCGTGTCTTTCTGTTCAGGTGGACGGCGAGCCATGCCGACTGGCTCCATCCACTCTCCGCATCTCTCTTCGAAATCAGGCCAACATGGTCCAGAAGAGCAAGAGACGCACCTCTGTGCCCCTGCTCAACGAGTGAGTCACACACACACGTGCGCGCTCGTACAGATGGAGGATCTAGGCCAGCAGCGTTGTAAAAAATCTGAATGAGTCACACAGTCTGTTTAGCAGGAGCTGACATTCACTCGTCAGTCTCCCACATCTCCGTACAGCACGCCAGACCAAGTCAAAGGAGGGACGTGTAATCAAATTAATCCAAACAAGAGCATGGGTGACACGTGACACTGGCAGTTTCCTGTGAACAGGAGATGCTTATTGATCTGTTTCAGGAGTGGCAGTGCTGCCTTGTGATTTCCTCCTGCACAAAGAGAATCACGAGACTACTAACCCTCCTCCATCCCCGTAGCACTAATATCTCTTCATGTATATCTCTGTCTTTATCTGTGTGTATTTTAAACCGTGTCAGCTACAGTAACTGTGTGCATGTGAGAGCAGGAAGAATAGAGGGTGATGACTTTCTGTAGCAGAACTTATCGACTGTCTGTACTGCTACTGTGCTATCAATGTTTGTCCACTTACCTCTGGGCTTTTCTCCGTCTGTTCCTCCTGTTCTTCTTCTTCTTCTTCTTCTTCTTCTTCTTCTTCTTTTGTCTTCCTTCATATTCACTTCTTCATTCCTCCAACACACACGCCGGTGTGATCTTTAATTATTTCTTTTCTTTTCTTTACCTTGTCTCCTTCCCCTCCTCTTTTTTTCATTTCCTTTCCCCTCCTCGTCATTTTCTCTTTTTCCACCCCTCATCTCCCCCCGTCATACGTTCCTCCTCTCTTCTGTGTGTGTGTGTGTGTGTGCGCGTGTGTACGGCCGTAGTATTCAGAAGGTGTGTGCAGCTGATCTGCGCCGCCTCTCTGCTCCCCCCGACTCCTTCTCTGTGTAAGTACCTGAGCCCTCTGTGACCGGATGGATGGATGTTTGTGTCCGTGTGAGTAAATGTGTTGACAGCGTTGTGTCTTTATTGATCCATCAGGCTTTGACCAATATTTGACATGACAAAATCAGCAGTTGGCATCTTCCCAGCTTTTTGTGGTCAGTTATGATGATTTTAATGATAGCAAATTATAAAATATTTGACTTTATTTGTTCATTTAACAGTTTTTATTTGTAGTATTGGAGGTGGTGCTCAGTCAAAGCTTTGGCTACTGAACAAAAGGATGAAGCAGAAAAGCTGCGACCCATTTTAAAATGAGAAAATCCCACGGGCCCCACCCAATCTTAAGTCCTCACCCTAATCATGATACAAGAGAAAGTGATATTTCCTTGAAAGTTGTGTTTAAAAAAAGCCTTAATAGCAATCGCACTGATGAAGAAACGTAAATGTCCAACCAGGCCTTTCAAACATGACACGCTCTTTAACCTGCAAACACTTTAGTACAAACTCACGGGTAATGACCGGTACATTCACCACGAGTGAGCCTCCTGCATGCTGAACTCAGGCAGTACCCTCACCTGAACCAAGCAGAGTATTTCCAGGAGCGAGGAAGAGTCTGACGTGGGCTGTCTCCTGCTGCATGTTTAATGCGAGGAAGGGCAAATCAGGACAAAGTCCCAACATTGAAAGAGGCTCTGCATTAGGATTCCCAACTCATTTAAAGTGGCGCTTTTTGGGTTTTTAGGTGCAGACACCTCATAGAGAGGAGACGGTTATCCAAGGACACCCTGACTAATGTTCCTCTGTGCTCGTTAGCAGCGGTGGCTAATCAGAAAGACAGCAACCTGTGAGACGTAACAGACAGGAGTCGTAATGTCCTTATTTTATAAGCCCAGATTTTTCCTGTTGGACGTGTTGGCTGTGAGGGTCCATGAACCCCATTTTGAGAACCCCAGATTTGAAATGCTCAAATAGCTGTATTGGTCAAACCCTGCTGTGTCGTGCTGGCTGTTGGTGTTTGTGTTACACAGGCTGGAAGAGAGCGGCAGAGAGAGAAAGAGCGCGTGGCAGCATGCAGATAAAAGCCTGTCCACTCCTCAGTGTGCTTCTGTCTTTTGTCTTAATGTTTCCCTCGCTGTAGTCCCTTTACCTTTACCTGAACCGAGCCTCTCGCTTGACGTCCAGACCCTGTAAAGTGTCTTAATGTTGTGCTCTGAGTAACAAGAGTCATGTAACTGTTGTAATTTCAAACGCTTTCTGTCCCTTTGCAGGTAAGATTATTGAGTTAGAGCTTTTGAGGCTCTGTGGACGTATGATTCTCAAACACCTGTGCAGATGTCTTTTATATGTCAGAGCTCATAGATCTGTTTTCACATGAACGAAAGAAGACAGAGGAGGAATTAAATATCAGGTAAAAGCAGCTGAGCTGAACTCCACTGTGCTGCTTACTGCTGAAATATTTATTCAATTCCAGTGTTTTGGTCTGTCCAGCCTTCGTCAGGTACGTGGCAGCATCTCAGCATGAGATCACTTTCACTGAAAGTCAGACGGACCAAAACATCGTCAATAATGAAGTGCAGGAGTTCAGCTCAGTTGTTTGTTTTTACGTAGTTTTCTCCTCTGATCGAGCTGCCACTCATTCAGGTGTGCAGACACTCAGTTATATTTATATTTAAATAAAAGCTCAGATCTGTTTTGCGTTGTGTCCAGTTGTGTCTGTGCGTGCATGTATGCATCTGTATGCCTTTCTCATTGTCTGCTCGGGCATGTCTGATCTGTGCGTGTGTGCATGTACATGCACGTGTGTGTGTGTGCTTTTTCCAGTCCTCACGCAGTTCCAGATCGTCTGCGTCTTCGAGTGAACCGGATCAGCCTCCAGGAGTACGACAGGCTGCAGTATGACAAGGAGCGGCTACGAGACATATGTAAGGCTCTCTGTGTCTCTTAAATTAAAAAAGAAATCAGCTTTAATCTGACTTTTTGTATAAATTGTGGGTCACCAGCTGCAGAATTTTGTAGCTCATTTGTTTTTAGCCAAACCAACTTTATGACACACATATAGCTAGCAGATACCTGCTAACCTGTTTGTTATTGCTAAGAATTCCACTAAGGCTGAATTACATCTTAAGACTAAATTAGCGTAAGTACTGTAAGTCACACTGTTTGTCAAATAAACCATTAAAAATAAATTCCAAAAGGCAGCAACAGGATACACGAAACATAACTTTAAGCTTTACAATGAGCAAATGGATGAGTTTTGGTTATGAAGGAGGAAACTTTCCATACAGGCTGGTTTTGTACCATGACACATGACAAAAAACACATGACAAAAAAAAAAATGTTTTAGTGGTTTATAAAGTAACAAACCTTTGACTCATGTGACAGACAAATAAAACTAGTATTTTGGACCCGACTGTGTCCAACATTTACGTTTCTGCAGCCTGGCACCACGTTTTCATATTTAAACATATTTCTGAAGATTTCTAGTGCAGAAAAAATTTTTTCTTAGTGTAGGTGATCAGCTGTGGATACCATGTGTTGATAAATCTTTACTATAATTACCCTAAAGCTCTAACATGTGTCTGTGTTTTGTTTTGTTTTTTCTCAGCCATCCCTGTTGGCATAGTGGTGGTGAGGGGGGACTGTGACCTGGAGACCTGCAGACTTTATATTGACAGATTACAAGAGGCAAGTCTCTAGCTTTACCACCATCATCATTATCACTTTAATTGCCTCCCTTGTTCTCCTTTTCTCCTGTTTCCTCCTCTTCATCATTATTTCATGATCCACGCAGCAGCGTCGCTGCTCCTTTCTCAGTTATTTATAGATGGATGAATGACCGGCACTGCCAGGAACGCAGAGGTGCTCTTTAGCTGTCTGTCTCATGTGACTGAATGTAAAATGTGTAGAAGCTGTTGATGTTTTTTGTGTAAATGCTTCTGGCTCTTTGTTAACCTTGAAACCTGTCTGCTGTGTGCTTGCTAGGATTTACACCAGGCACCATCTACTGGCCACAGAGTGCACTACCAGGTATATGACTTTGGGGTGTCTTTCTGTGAGGGTTGAGAAACACTGAAACATTTGGACAGTCATCTAAGAGTTTAACATTTTTAGGTGGCTGGCAGCCCATAAGCATTTGGCTAAATAATAGCTAAATAATATAAACTAACTTTATCTGTTACAGGCTGGCACCCACTCTCAAATCCTTGTAGTAACCCTTAGAGTGGTAAAATCCCTAAAAACAACAAAAGATATGCACTACATGCTGTCTTATTGTCTTGCTCATCTCTGCCACGCTACAAAACACTCGTAAACAGCACTTTTGTCTTTCTCACGTGTTCTGTCTTTTGCTTCGTCCTTACTCTGATTAATCTCCTGATTGAACCCTGTTACATTCAGTTCATTGTTCAATAAAAAATGGCGACGATCACAACATTTGTCTCTTTGCCTCCAGGATGAAAGCAGAGGTGTCCCCCGGACCAGTTCAACCAGCAGACTGTCTCCCAACTGGAGCTTCTTGGATTGTGAGTGACTGAAACACCTTAAACTGGATCAGAGTCCTTCTAGAAGGATCTCGGTAACATCTTCATGCACCTGTTGTGGCAGTTAATTAAATTAAGTTTAATTTTAGTGGTCCCCAAAACACAAAAACTGCATGTATAGGGTCACCAGCTTGCAGACTCAAAGCATTTTAAAACCTTACTTTTTCTTCCCTCCTTGAGAGTTAAATTTCTACTAAGATGCTGTTACAGAATTATTTATGTCTGTAAACCGTACACATAGCTTCTTAAAGCCTTCAACTAGTCACCAAACTAGTCAGTTATCCATCACATCCTTTAGTAAAGTGTCAAACACAGTAATGTATTCAGACTCCAGTCCTGAAAGTAGGGTAAAGTTTATTTATTTTGTGCTTTTTAAGAACAAAGGTCACAAATTCCTTCAAAAGCTGCTTGTATTGGCTCACTTGACACAAGAGGGCGCCACAGCAGGTGATACAACAATTAAGATTATGAGCTCTAAGAGCCGTGCTTAGAGAGTGCTTTGTAGTGAATCAGAAGAGTCGACTCCCATTGAGCGAGAGCCGGTTCCTCACTTAATTTCCTTTCGCTGCTCAGCTCTCACACAGTGGCTCAGCTATGGTCCAATCCCTCCATAATGCGGCCAATCACATGCAAGGATGTAGCATAACATCATTATGTGAAAACAGAGAGGGTGAGAGACGCGACAGTGAAGTGGAGCGTGTGTCTGTCCTCTCAGTAAGTGAGTGAGACAGTAGACAGCGGGGAGGTGGGCTGTGTGAGTGCATCGCAAAAACACATAAATGTGCCTGACACCCGTAAACGAAGCAGCATCTGGCTGCAGTTTAAAGACTTTTTAGTCTCCGTCTCAACTTTGTCTTGGTCTCCACCTGGTCTGTCTTGGTATTATCTTGGTCTTGGTTTAGGCGGTCTTGACTACAAGTCTAGTATTAGTTGATCCCAGGCTGAATGTGTAATGTTTGCTAACTTGCAAAGAATTCCCACAGGGGGGCGTCAAAAGTTTCAAAAGCCACAAGTAGCACAAAAAAGGTTTATTATTATTGTCTTGGACTTGAGTTATAAACTAAATTTATAACTCGATAAAAATGAAAGTCGTTGAAGCTTTTTCTAAAATCATAAAAGATTATTTGGGTATCATAAAACCCTGCAGAGATTTTGATGAATCCAGCTTTACAGACGTTTTATGTCGCGTAACTGCGTGTTCCTTCTCTGCAGCCACGTCAGCCGACCGCTTCTATCGCATCGACAAGGCTCAGGTATTTTTGACTCTCCTGCTGCTTCAGAATTCACAAAGCTTGTTTCCAGGTGCATTTTCTTCCTCACGTTCCTTCTTTCTTTCCTGGTTCTCTGGGGGTTTGGGGGTTTTGTTTTAGGAGCATCTGCATTTCGTGACAGAAATCTGTCAGGATGAAGTGTTCATCCTGGACCACGAAGCTCCAGTGGTGAGCCAGGGCTCCTCCGCGGGGATGCCTGATCTGGTGGTGGAGCCCACTGCCGGGTAAGTCAGCAGATAGAGGTGACTCACTGAGGTCAGGAGCCTCTTCTGTACGGTGGTCATTCATGCACCTCAATTAAATAAATATATGAATGACATGAACAATTATTAAGCAATGTTTGCATGCGTTTTTACACCTGGTGTGATCAGAAAAACGTAGCAGGTGAGAATTATGTCATGTTTTCCCAGATACATATTGAATTAAAAAAAGGAAATTTAGGAGACACCATCTGTTTGTTTGGTTGTTGTTTGTTTGTTTGTTTGTTGTTTGAAGATATCTGAACCAGAAAACTCCATGCACGCACTTTGTGGAGAAGTTTTCTCCCTCCCAAGTGTTTTGGAGTGCAGTGCTCGAGCCTCTAGGATCATCTTCTGTCTTGGTCTTCAGAGCTGTTCAGTCAGTGAGCAGCTGAATGCAGGCAGAGTTTAGCATCTATTCTCTGACCTGCTAATAGAAAAATGGGCAGTGAAGAGTGACTATCCCTTGGAGGTGGATGCTGAGGTGGATGGGTTCAAACGGCAGAACTGACATTGCGTGATGCGAGTGAATCGTGTCATTGTATATGATGCAGCCGGCACGGCCCTGTGCATTTTATCTGCTCCCCTCACCTCTGGACAGAGTAGACAAAAGAAGGATTACAGAGAAAACTATCTCTGAGAAGTTCACGCTCCACATGAACGTTTCGTTTTACCTACTGTGTGATCACCTTTCTTATCCTGGGTATCAAATAGTTTCCATACCTAAAATGCAAATGAGAAAACGTTTATTCATAATGAAGCAGCGAGCGATTTGGGAGAAGCAACGTCTTTCTGCTCCCAGGCGAGGCAGATCCCCCTGATGCATCTGAAAGAGGGCAAGTGACATCACACGTAGCCACCGCAGCGTCACCCCTGCGTTTTAGCTGCCGCCACACTGTTTTCTGTGGAGCCAGAAGTGACCATGTTTAGGTGAAAGGATGGAGCGCATTCATAACTCTTCACAGACACACATCTTTGAATTATTGCTTAGAGGAAGAAGCCCGCTCAGATGGGACATCAAAACTAAAGCAAACGTGTGTTTGAGGCTGAACATCAGATCATTTCTCTTCAACATTTATAATTAACAGATGTGGCCATAACTTTGCACTTGCATCTGCTCAAAGATCACTTCTATCTGATGAGAATATGAAGGTTTCCACGGTTACGTGATACTAACATTGTGTAAGCACTGGAAAAGTGTTATCTACATATCCTATTAACGCTGTCTTTGTTTTCTGTTTGCAGCGCTCCGTTGACATCAGACGAACAAGGTATCACACACACGCACAGACACACAGTCAGTGTCACAATATTAAAGTTTAACTTTTTAAGGAGCCTGAAAGTAAGAGATTTCTCCAAAAACACAACAGGCAAGGTTAAACTTTGTTGTATAAATTCATTTCTAGTTATTTATATATAACAAAAATACAATAAAAATTTCCTTAAAGTGCTTTATGGAGAGTAAAGTCCAGCAATCAGATGGCAGGCGACTGTGGGAAGGAAAAACTCCCTGGTAACTGGTGTATATTGATGTTTTTTGTTTTGTTTTTTAAACAGAAGCAACGTCTAAGCCAGGCTCATCTTCCTGCTTTGATTCCTTCTGTAATTTTGTCATATTTTAAGGAGTTTTCCAGCCCTCTAATTACTCTCCTGTACTTACCTGGTACAAAAGGGCACATTAAATGTAAAGTGTTTGGCGTGCCTGTAAGTTGTAATATTCAGAGTATGAGGGTAAATATTTGCCTGATTTGATTAAATGTAATGCGGTGAATGTAAACCGTAAACATCAGCTGGTTGTGAGTTGTCAGGTGGAAGTCACGGGTTGACCTTTGATATGACTCATAGATTAGTGCGTGTCTCAACTTTAGAAACTAAAAGTGAAACGCTTCTCGGACAGATACAGTTTCCTCATTTGCTTTTGTTTTCTTTCTGAAAAATAAGACTGAGCAAACTTTTTCCATTTTCATATGGAGATGGGCAGTTTAGGACTTTTCTTTACAGGTTTCTGTCTTTGGTAAATTGATTTGCTTTCTTCAGTGTGTTCACACTTCTGAACACACTGTGGAACGGTGTTTGCGAGGCCTGTTTACAGAGTCACATCATCAGTCATCCATATTCCCGGGACTCACCAGTTCTCCCAGAGAACCGGTTGTTCCTTGTGCTTCCAGTTCTGCTGCTTTTTTTCTACTTGTGCCGATTTATGATTTTAGAAGCGCCTTGCTTGGACCGAAATGTATTGCTTTTAACACATTTATTTAATTATTTTCCTAAAAGCAGCTCCGACGGTCAGTCGCTGACTATGAAATCCTCATCCGTAAATGCTCCAGACACACATTAAGTGCTGGAGTTTTAGTTTCCCTGAGATTAATGCTGTCATTAAGTGTTTCTAGTTTCTAGTTGGGCTGTTCAGAGCAGCACGATGCCTCGAGACAAGAGGAATATTTCTCCTGTGTGGAAAAAACACCTCAGCCTTCACCTTTGTAAGAAAGTGGAGCAAAGTTAAAATAGAGCCCTGTGGAAAGACTCAGGCTGATGCTCCCTTCAAACAATAGGTCACCTTAATTATCTGTTACTGAGAAAAAGATCCCTGCATTGTTTTTCTGCTGTAAACAGTGTTTGAGCACAGAGACAGCTGCAGAAAAGATGAAGAAAGTGACTGCTTTGTGTTTGTGTGTTCACAGCTCTGCTGACAGCTGCAAGTTCTGGGGACCTCTCCACGGTAATTCACATCTACTCTGTCACGGCCTGAGGATGACCTGTTACTAGCCTGTGTGTTAGCCACTGCAGAATTAGTTTTTGTGGTTTAATGTTGCACAACAGTAAAATTCCCTTTGCCCAGCCGATCAACAAAGACTCAGCAGTTTCTTAAGTCATGAAAAGGTTAAATTATGCATCACTCCAAACACCACAGGATCCTTTTTTTTTAATTACATGCATGCTGTGACTCATACTACAGGCATTCTTACAAAGTTCCCTGTCAGCCATGACAGTAACACCTAATAAAGGGAGGAAATCCCACAGTTTCTTGTTTCTGTCATGTGTACATGTGACGGTTTTTCCCTCTCTTGGTTCTGTATCAGACCAGACATCCTTCATGGGGCAATGAAACTTGGCTTAAACTAAAACAGGTTGTTCCAGACAGAGGATGAGCTAAGGGGCTGTTTCAAGAACTGATAACAACAAAAACAAAAATCAAAACAAAAGTAACTCTGGTTGTGTCAAAGAATTGAAGTATGCAACTAGAAATGAGTAGAGCCAGGAAAAACTAGAAGTAAAAAACTCCCCAAAAAACAGATTATTGATGTTTGCAAGATCACGAGAAAATGTTTTAAACTGGTTGTGGCCTGGCTCATAGTCCAGGACAGAAATGGAAGGGGCACTATAGCAGATGGTTAATGAGAGGACTTATTCGGATACAGTAAATGAAAGAAAACTAAAAGTGATAGCAGTGGAATGCCCACATCTATGGGTGTATTTTGGCCTTTTATGTCAACAAAAACAGAGGGGGAGAGTTCTGATTTTTGTGGACCAACAACAAATCTGTGTCTTTATTTTTTGTCACCTGTTATTGCTTGCGTCTCACGTCTCCTGTGATTAAGATGTGGGGTGTTGCGACAGATAAACAAAACTAAAAGAAAGACACGCGGGTCCACCGGGATAGGAGCGAGACAGTTGTTAGCTGAAGCTGCTTTACCCTGATTCCCAGACAGTAGGATCATTAACCACTCTTGTGTTACACAGAGAAGGCGTCCTCTCAAGGTAGCAAGTTTAAAAATTATCCTTAGGCACTTTGTCACAAAAAACCCACTTAATTTAATTTCTCTTGAAGAATACCAAAGCTAACATCTTAGTAATCACCTTGTTGTTCTTTGACAAACAACAACAAGGTGATTACCAAAGAGCTGTTAGCTGAATGTGTTTTTGGAAAGTGGAGGATGAAAAAAGAATTGGGGTCTAAAAAGATAAATGAAATAACATATAGAAATAGATTTTCAGTGCTTTTATCAAGAAAGAACAATCAGGTTTTTCTATCAAGAAAGATTTGCTCTTTCTTTGTTCCTGTTTTTAAGAATCCTGGTTGATGTTGAAAATCTTGAAATCGTGTCTTCCTGTCGGCCTCTGCAGCTCTCACAGTGTGTGGATCGAGGCGTCAATTTGTTGGTCCGAGACTCTGGGGGTTGTTCGGCGTTGCATTTAGCTGCTCAGAGCGGACACGCAGACCTGGTCCGCTACATACTGCAGCAAGGTGAGAAAGTGCATGTTAAATAAATATCTGTGTTCCTGTAAACGAAAGTCTCCAACAGCCTCCTGGATCTACTTTCAGTCAGTCACAAAACTGAAAGACTCAGGTTGTTTAGGGTTAAAATCCCACAGCTGTGTACAACTCAGTGTCACAACAGCAGTTCTGGATATTCACAATATCCAATGTTCATACTGACACGTTTTAGTATTTCATGAAAACTCTTGTCTTACTTTGAATTTAATTGCAGCAAAATGTCTCCAACAAGTTGGGAAGAGGGCAAAAAAAAGCTGAAAAAGAAACAAGTGGAGGAACATCAACAATGTGATGATTGGGTATAAAAAGAGCTTCTCAGAGAGTAATGAGGTGCAGATTGGTGAACCTGTGCACAAGACCTGCATGTAGAAATTGTGGAACAATTTGAAAAACATGTTCTTGAATGTAAAATTACAAAGATGTCGAATATCGCATCATCTACAGTACAAGATATCATCAGAAGACTGAAAAAAATTGGACAAATCTCTGTGTGCAAAGGCCAAAAATAAATACTGGATGTGAAATGATCCAGAAACACTGAGGCAAAGTGGAAGACTGTTCTGAGGGCAGGAAAACATGGACTAAAGAGGATTTGGACCTTCTGGCTTGTTTAACAGCATTTGTACGTTCAGATCACTGCTCACGCTTCCTGTTTCTCCCTCCTCAGGCTCCAAGGTTCTTCTGGATTTAACAGACACAGAGAAGTACTTTCTGTTTCGTTTTCTCTGAAGGGAAATGTATCATTCATGTGTATTTTATATTTGTTTAAAATTCACACGTAGTGATTGTGTGAGAACCTGAGTGCAGACAACTCAATCCTGTAGTGTAGTGTGGTATAGAACAGTCTGACCACAGTGACGTTACTGCTTTATCTATGATCTTTAGCTTTATATATGAGTTGTATCTGATCACCAGAATGTGTGTGTGTGTGTGTGTGTGTGCGCGTCTAGAGGTGACACTGCATTGCACAAAGCAGCATCAGGGAAGCAGCACGCAGTGTGTCGACTACTGGTCGAGGGCGGGGCGTCACTAGAGAAGACCAACTTCCAGGTAAACAGATGTTTAAATGGTAAATGGACTGGTTCTTATATAGCGCTTTTCTACACAACTTTAAACAGCTGCACATACAATTCCCGTAAGTCCCGATGAATCACGCAAATGATTTACAGTGAAAGGTTTTGTGGCTTCCAGGGTGTGTCACTGTCACTGTGAAAAAGGAATCGGCCAGCAGCTGATACCAAAAGCTTAAAGAACAGGAAGTATGGCAATAAAAAAACAGGCTTTACCAAACAGATCAGTGCATCACATCTTTGTCCTGAGGGGAAGTGTGTGATTGTCATTTATATTTTCAGGCAAAGAAGAGGTAAGTCAGTCGATACTGGCTGCAATAAAAGAGGCAAAGTTCCCCAGGACAGTTGTGACCTGAAAACATGTTTAAAGATTAAAAGCTTCTTTAGTTTCTCGCGTTCACTGACTTTCTTTAGGTTTTAGAGGCTTTAAGGGGCATTTTACACCACAGTTATTTTGTTTAAAGCACCAAAAATACCTTAAAAAATCCTTACAAGCAAAAACTTGTTGCAGAATTACTAAAAATGACTTTCGTCAGACTGGGTTAAACAATAAAATGTGGAAAGTCATCTTCTCAGAACCTTGGTAAGACATGTAGTTGCATCTAAACATGCGTCCTCCATGGTTCCATTTAAAGACGGTGATTTATTCTTTAGGCCAGATTAGCCCTCCATTATGCTAACTAGATTAGAGATCTCGCTGTGGGACACCTTCCTCCCTTACCTTCCATTTTTAATCCATCCCTCGGATTCATGCTGCCGCTTTTGTACGTTCCTTTTGGATGAGAGGCACGCTCCAATCTAATCGTCTCTTTCCTTCAGGGGAAGACGCCGGCAGACCAAGCCGATGGAGACGCTGAGCTCGCCGCCTACCTGAGCTCATCGTCTGCAAGCCACGAAGACCTGGAGACGGCCGTGTGATCGCGAACACGCTCGCGCACTCTGTGTCGCTCTGGACTCTGCGCGCTCGACGTGGAGAGGAAAACGTTTGGATTCGACTCTTCGGGCGGAGAAGTTGGAGACGAGCCAGAAGAGATGAACTGCTTCAGCTCGCAGCAGCACTGCAGAGGAGATTTTACTGGTCTACTATTTATTTGTATTTATTTATTCATATTCTATTTATTGGTTGTGCCGATTGAGTGAATGACTGATCGTAGGACTATCAGGATGCAAGTGCAATTGGACCAGCCGTCACACATCGTGAGTTCACCTGTTTCTCATCTTATAAGGGATTCATGCATATTTTACTCCCTGAGACTTCTGCAGTGGTTTAAAGTGTATAAAGTGTCATTTCAGCGCTCGTAGGAACAGTAAAAGTTTTTGTTTGTCCCTTAAAACTTGTGCCAAAGACATTGCACTAGCGTAATGTCACATCTCGTCCCAAATTTCAGTCATTTTCCCATCATCTGTCACATAGTTTGATTTCCACGCCTTCCCTAAACTTTCTTACTCCCATGTCATTAAATATGCAACGCTAGCGTTTGCAATCACGTGCTGCCCGCTAAGTCACACATCACAAAATAAAACAAACAAAACGAACATATCCTCCCCGGGTGCGCTCGTCCTGAAGTGCTTGTAATGTTTTCCGCTTTCGGCTTCTTGCGAGTCCCGACTCAACGCCACTTCTTATCCTATCAGAGTCGTTGCTTCGCCGTGACTCATAAAAATGACAAAACGCTTGTCAGCTTTCTGACTCTTTCAAGCAGCTGATTACTTCCAGGAACACTCAGTGGACTAAATGTGTCACATTTTCTACAGACAAAACCATGATTCAGAGCTACGTGTACAGATGAGTTTTTAAAAGGTTTTTTAAAATGAGGATCTGCTCTTGCCCACTTTTAACATTTATTTTCATTTTATGTCTGCGTCACTGCATCATTTCTCCAACGTCTTGGCATGTGCTGGAGTCTGAGAGGTTCACAAAGAGATCTTTAAACTAAAGCTGCGATTGAGTTATTCGCATGTTTAAAAATTTATTGTGGCAAACATGATGGAGGGACTTTATGTTCTCCACAGCAGCCACACACAAAAAAATACACAAGCTGATATTAGACGAGTGTAAATGTGATAAAGCCAGACAAAGAGCAAAATATCAGTGTTTCTCAGTGGTAGAAGCTACAAGTATTTAGCTCTATTTGCACTGTCAGTAAACCACAACAATTCAAAACATGGACACAGTTTGGCATAGAAAAAAATCAAACCTGCATGAACTGTGAAAGCTTTGAACTTTTCTCACAAACTTCTTTTAACTGCAGCTTTTTCTCCAAGTACAAACAACACACGGAACAAGTGACCGAGTGGGATCATTTATGACTCCAGTCATATCTGTGTATGTGCTGCTGTGACATTTTTATAACCAATTATGACTCGGATTGTATAACATTTAATAGAATTTTAATTAAATATGTCTGTTTTTTAGCATTATAAGCTTTGATTTTACTGGAAATGACCATTTCTAATCACTACATTGTAGAAAGGCATGTACGCTATATGGACCAAACATAAGCTGCTCAGCCATGCAGCTGAAAAACTCTGTTATATTGGGACATTATAGACATAAAAAAACATTATGAAATCAAAAGTGATCCCACCTGGTTTCAGTAGCTAAAATCTCTTGTAGATAACAAAAAGCAGCATTTTTTGGCTCTTTCTGGGATCCCAGAGAGTACAAAAATAACGGAATAATCACAACACGTTTCAGGAACCATGAGCTCATTAGCTGATGGAAAATAAATCACATTTGTGTCATAGAAATGCCTAAAATGTGCCGATCTCTGTCACATTTGTGGATATGTGCTTGTTTTCTTTGTCATATTTCTAATATTTTGCTTGTCTTGGTGAGATAAAGGTGATAAATGTTTTGCTCTGGGAGCCGTTTTGTGAAATTTCTTAGCCGAAACAAAAAAACCCCAAAAAACCCTCATATTTCAGAACAACACGGGACTCCAACTCTTTTTGTGGACAAAATTAGCGCTGAGCCATCAAACCAGTGACCGTACCAAGTGATAGTGAGAGGGGACCAGTATTAGCCCAGTATGGAAGGAATGACGCTAACCCAAGGTTCCCGTCGTTTGCGTTTGAATTCATTTTTGGACGTTAGACCAGAGTCTGTTTAAAAAATGGGAGATTTAAAGTATTTTCGTTGCAATGTTTCTTTCAAACTAAGATTTTAACTTTTCACAGTTCGATAGTGTGTATCTGGTACTCCTGGTGTGTGCGCGTGTGTGCGTGTGTGTGCGTGTGTGTGTGTGTGTGTTTGCAGCATTTGTCTAAGAATAAATTAAAATCTGAGCCATGTTCAATGCAATATGAATAGATTATATCTTCTTGTTTTTGCATTTCTATGTTACTCATTTACATTACATTAATGTTTGTAACACGGTCGAGCATTTAGCACCGAGGAGTATTGAATGTGCGGTTTTGCTTCAGTGCTGGTTAGGAAAATGATTCTTGTTTCGTTCGTTCTTTTCTTTTGAGAGCACATATGTCAGTGGACTGAAATGACCCTGTGAGCTCTGCAGTAACCTGTGCTGATATTTGCAGGACATGATGCTTTCCCAATTATTTAAGGGGACATTGTAAAGAGTCGTGATCAGCCATCATAGAAGTCTGGCTCCCAAAGTCCCAGCTTACGTTTACTGCAGTGGCTTTTCTCCCTTTCCCTCAAAATTCAAACTATTAGTCGCCAACTTGTGTCCTCAGGTCTGCCCTCAGGAGGTTGGTTTGATAGAAGGTTTCCGGTACATCACAGATTGGCTCTGGAGTCCCTTTAGCGTCATAGAAAGCAGATATCCTAATATGGTTATCTCAGGGAGGCGTAAATATGTACTGACAGGGTGTTGGTGCTTTGCAAGCACAACTATTCCTGTGCAAAGACAATCCCGCAGAGGCACCTATTTGTAAAATATATGGAAAATTTAAGAGCGGTAAAAACATTTGCAGTAGGAATACAGCTTGGGTCTATTTTCACTGCACTCTTATCAGCCAATCAGATGGATCAGATCTCTCTGCCCTGTTTTACCAAGGGTTAAAACGTATGATGAGTAAAGACTCGTTTATTCCAGAGCTGTGTTGTTTAAACCCTTCGAATGTTCTTAGAATTTCTTGACTGAATCCACACTTTAAACATCCAGAGCCGATGTCTCGCTCTCTTTCTCTGCAGAGGTTTCTTGTTGTAAGATGGCTTCCACAAGCCAGATATCAAACTCGGTGGCCTTCCTCCGAGTTTCAGCAGTTTACACGGACAAAATGTGTGTAAAATAAAACCACAAACTGATCATTTCCAGAAAGTGACTGTGCTCATGTAAGCTACGTTCGTTCTGAGCAGCACACACACACACACTCAAACACACACACAGGCTTATTATCACTCTTTCTATTTAGTAGAAACATGACTTTGAATTAAACTGTGTCTATCATCAGCGTTGGTTATGCATGTCCTTTATTTTCTTACCTCCCTGGGATTCTGTTCTGGTAATGGCATAAAAAAATGGCATTATTGATGTTTAAACTGTTCAATTGTTATCATTTTAAATGATTTATACTAAAGTTTCTTGTAAGGCTGGGCACGTGGGTTTGTTTTGTTTTTTTTTGCTTTTGTATTTTATTTTTCTGCTACTGATGATGATGATGATGGGATTACTTGAAGTTTGTTGTTTTTATTTTGTCATTTGGTAAAAGAAGATGTGACGCTGTTGTCTTGGTGTCTGACCTCATTTCCTGTTTGAGCGGTTGCCGGGGAAATCCCCTCAACACCAGCTGTTACTTGTCAAAACAAGCTGCTTAAATCTCTGACGTAACTACTCTAATGACAAGACCATAAAAGCTATAAAAAGTCTAATCTGTAATGTCAACTGGTCGTCCTGAGGGTGCACCTGGCCTCCTTATCATTGTGTCGCAAAGGGCAGAATTAAATATCAGTGTTTGTGGGATGGAGACTCGTGGAAGGTGATGGGAAGTTGGAAGCAGGAATGTCCTTCACCTGCTGTGTAATTTACTGGCAGGGTAAAATGGTGAATGGACTGATTCCTATACAGCGCTTTTCTACTCTCCTGGAGTACTCAAAGCATTCACCCATACACACCCATTCACATACGCAGTATTATCTATACTTTGAGTGCTTTCTAACTATCATTCATACGCCGATGGATGCATCGGAGAGCAAGTCGGGGTTAGTATCATGCCCAAGGATATTTGGCATGCAAACTGCTGGAGCCAACCTTTCGATCAGCAGCTGACCTGCTCTTCCTCCTGAGCTACAGCCACCCCAATCTGGTTCACCAGATAAACCAGGCAGATGGTGGTTTTGAGGGTAAAACAAATTTATTAAGGAAACAAGCTCTCTGAACTCTCTGGAAGGAGTGTCTATCCCCACTTGTACATCTTAAGCTCCTCCTACCGTGACACCGTGCATGCTGTTTTATCATTTAACTCATTTCATAAAAAAGAAATCCAATGACCATTTCTAGCACAGTCTCACAGAAACATCCACAACTGTCTGCTGACAACATTCTCCCCTCTGTTTTCCATCTATCTGATATCCTGCAAAACTCTACCATAAACAGTCAAACAGGAAAAAAAATCCCGTTTGATGGTCTGCTCTTCTTTCGCCTGCTTCCTCCAACCCTCTGCGTGGCATTCGCTATATCCAAGAATCTTCTCTAAGGTCTTCCTCTTTTCCTCCTGCCTGGCAGCTCCACCTTCATCCACAGCCTCTCCTCTGCACCATCCCAGCCTTACTTCTCTAACCTTCTCTCCAACCTTATGCCTTCCTGGTGTGTTAATCCTTTCCCTCCTGGACTTTCTCGATAAAAATCTTCAGCTCTTCCATGCAGCATAATGATAACAACTGTGCAATCTAAAGTCTTCAGAGGTCAGGGGTTACCACCGTGACAAGCCTCTTTGATAAAGGAGTCACAGAGAAGCCTGGAGCCTGAGCCTCTGTTTGGATATTAAAAACCAGCCATGTTTAATATGATCATGAAGTTTAAAAGTGACACAGAATAAGAAAAAGCATAAAAAATCCAATTTAAATGGTAAATGGTAAATGGCCTGTATTTATATAGTGCTTTACTAGTCCCTAAGGACCCCAAAGCGCTTTACATATCCAGTCATCCACCCATTCACGCACAACATTAAGCCAACATTAGTCTGTTTGGAGCACCAGGCAGGTGGATTTAAGTGCATCATGATTATATATGAAATAATTTTATTCATCATGATTTTATTTTTGCACCTTTGTGGATACAAAAGTGTCTTTGAAGCACTCTGACTGTTTCACATTCATAACCCAGGATTCAACAAACAGCCACTTGAAGAAATTCTGCCCCGCCTTTCTTTACTGTTTGATATCTGAGTCATAAACTTGTTTGAACCTTCACCCATATTACAGTTTAATAAAGAAGAAAGAAAATCCCCAATGACACATGGATGAGACATTCCACATGTAGATATCCCCGATTCACACCTGGGAACGAATGTGGAGAACTTCTCTGAGCGAAAAACTGAGTATTTTCTGAGCAGTTTAAGGCCTTCTTTTAAGAACTGAGATTGATTTGATTGATTAAACTTTAAAAACCTCCAGATTTGGTTGCATACTTTGTGAAATACTTCCTCTTTTTAATTTAACCCAAATCACAATGAACATCAGTCAGAGCCAGCTCACGATCATGTAGACTTACTCTCTTCAGTGTGAAATGCTCATGCAGAAATCGATTCTTTTACTTCCCTACATCAAAAATCCATCCAAATTCCACGGACCCCAGTCAGTCACAGCGAGACAGACATGCCCACAGTAGGCACAGAGTCACTCACTGACCCAACGCAGATTTCTTTGTCTTCCTCGTGTTGTTTTAATTGCTTTTATGGGCCTAAGATCACCTAAACATGATTTGGTAACTGAAAGGAAAGTTAGATGATTATGAAGAATCCTGCAGACACTTCAAACTGTCAAAGTCTTAAGCAATTACTAATTTTTCAGGCTTTATTTATCCCAGTGGGATTGTTTTTTTTCTTCATATGGTGTACAATCACCACACCCCACTTCCTTTGTCCTCCACTTGTCTGCTTTCAAACTTTGTAAAGGACACACTGCATGCCACGCTGAGATATGCCAAGTTATCAGATACAACTTACCAATGTTTGTTTGGTAAGGTGTCTGTTATCTGACTAAGTGTTATTTGGTTTTACAAAAGGAAATTCTTCTGAACTCAGTGAGGCACGTAAAGTCCCCAAACAATGAAAATGAAAGAAGCCCTCTGTGCACAAAGAAAAACTTTAAAGATGGTCTCCTGGAGAGCTCAGCAGCAATTTGAAAAAAAAATGAGAAGCACATCTGGATCCTAGGAAACAAAAAAAAAAGGAAAGTACTGTTGGGACACCTGCTGTCTAAACAATGGCGTGTGACACACAGAAACCCCCAGTGGAAACAAGCGTGAAATTCTTTGCTCCTTATAAATAAAACTGTGGTTTCTTGGCAATGTTATACTCAAGCTCTCCTTGCAGTGACGTGCAGGAGCTTGGGGATTTTTTCCTGCCTTACCTGCTGATTGTGGAGCTTGATGACCGTCTGGTAAGGGCATGCCTATGGAGCTCCTGGAATGTGGACACAACTACTTTTAGTCTGAGCTTTCATTTCTGCTCAGATCAATGTTTCTATGCACAGTGGTGTCACTCTCACCTTTATGTTGCAGCAGTTAAGCAAGCATGAAGGCAGATTTAGAGGTTAGCAGGGTAACCTGTTGCTGTAATAACAGGATGTTTAAAAAAAAATGAACAAGAAAACTTCCAGTTTATGATTCCAAACATTGGATAGACAATTATGGGCGCTTGTTTCTTCCACTAATTGTACATCAAATTTCAGGTTAAATATCTCAAAATTTTAACTCAGTATTTCAAAATTGAGGTTACGATTGAGGTTAGTGTTCCTCTGAGACTAACTTGAAGTGCTGGAAAAATAAACTTGAAATTTTGTGCTATGTGAATGTGCATGTGAAGTTTATGGGAATTTAAAGCAGTTCAACTTTTGTTCTTCTTTTTCTGCCTAATTAAAAGGTGTAATATTAGCAACGAATCTGTGCACTGGGGACCATGGAGGCCCAGGGGGGAATTGTATCTGCAGAAATAAAGTCAAGGCCTCCCTTGGCATGTGTTTGTTTGACTATTTTTATTTTTAATCGTTAATATAAGCTTCTTAAGATCTTCCCCTGATAAAGACCCTCCATATTATAACACCTACTGAAACCATCTAGTCAGTATTCGTCCATTTAATTTAATTTAATTTTTTTTATAAACGAATTAAAACTAAACTTTCTTTCTATGAGAAACTAAACTGCAAGCTCTGGAAACTGACTGAAATCCACTCAACTAAAAACAAAAACTTGGAATTACCCAAGATTCAATTTTGGGGTTTTTTTTGGAGAAACAACAGCAAGTTTAGTTGGAATTATTAAGCGATTAATCACGGAGGATAGTTGTTGTTAAATGCACACTGACATTGTCAAAAGATGAAAGTGATGCAAGTGTACAAACGTGCGTAGAGGATTGGGGGGTTTATTTTGTCGTGCATTAAATACGTTTTTTGTTCATTAAATGTACAACAGAGAAAAATGTGCAGATGATCTGTCAAAAAAAAGTGCTCAGGAATGTGATCACCCACTTTTATCCAGAAATCTAGAAGCTGCGCTTTGCAGTTTCTGGCAAAGTGATTTATAGATACGGACTTGAAAAACATTTTCAAGGAAAATTTGGCCGAGAGGACAGCAAAATGTGCAACAAATACAAGATAACACAGGCAGCGTCGAACACAGGGTTGCTGAGTCATAATACCTACGAAGCACGTCGTCTTATTTATTCCATATAATTGATTATCTTTGATCAACTGTGCTAACTACTGCCTGTTTGCGGAAATCACCGTTTTCTGACATTTACAGACCACTTCTGTCTGTGCGAGAGAAAATCAGGTAAGAATATACCCTAACCACATGCATTTAAAAATGTTTATTTGTGTATTTTTTATGTAATTACTTGTAATCGAAAATTACGCCCCGCTGGAAAATAAATTAATTCCCCCTCCAAAAAGGTCTTACGAGATATGTAATCCGAAGAAAAGTTTGTTCGGTTTGTCTCGTCGTAGCTGGAGCTACGTCATAGCACGTCAGCACGTGACAAAGTCGCCATACTTAAACAGGGTCGTGGACTCCGACCGGCGCATAGTTCACTCAGTGACTATACGAGTTGGTGTGGCAAGTGTTTTTCCTTCGTTTAGCGTCTGTTTGACCGCTCGGACCGTAAGTATATCTGTTTTTGTGTATTCTAGAACTACTTGAAGTATTTAAAAGTGCTTCCGTGTAGCTGACAGGTCGTTTTTACTCACATAAAGTACACATTAAGTTTAACTTTCTAACTCTTCTTCTTCTTTTTATCGTGTTGTTAAACTCAGGGGCAGTCTCGGTTGGGTTGTTGTTGTCTAACATTTACAGCCACTTAAGCTCAGTCAAACAATGGCGGCTCGAGTTTACAGCTACTTTTACACAACTTCACCGGCTAAAGTTTCAAAGTCAAAAGATATACAATAAAGTTTTTCTTTCATGGCTAACGTAGAGTAGCTAGCTAGCTAGCTAGGTCGTCTTTACACGGATTTATGACGGCTTTGACCCAGAGAAACACGGCGCATCACGGTTAGTTGTGGCTTCAGGAGTTCCCGGTGTATTTCATTGAGTTTAGTGAAACTATCAGCTGTTTGCCGAGACACGCCTCGACAAAGTCCTGAAGTCAAGAGGAGGAGCCACACAACCACACTTTAACATTAAGCTGACTTTAATTACAGGAATATTACAGATGTTCACAG